AGAAATATGGCTTCTGCCAAAGCTGTATCTAGGGCACAAGAACACAAGACAGTCACCCGTGGTACCTGTTATTTAGAGGAGGTGTGATGGGGAGTGGGTAGCTGTTGAGTTCATTCTAAGAGACTCGGAGAGAAGCGGAGATTGGGAAGGGAAGGCAATGGAACTTTGCCAGTTGATGCTAAAGAGGAAAAAAAGAGGTCTGGAGAAGATTCAAAGTATTGATAACAAAAGCAGGGGTAGACACACCCTCACAAAATCAAACAGGCATATGAAACCCCAGTCACGTGATATGATCAGCAAAACTGCGGAAGGATACCTTTCCTTATAGAAATATGCACCAAAGCTATGGTAATTAAAACTGAATCTACGAAATAATGCATACACAAAGTAAAAAGTTTCAGAGAAAACTGAACCTACAAAATAACACACAAACAAAACAAAACGTTTCAGAGAATATTATCAAAGAACCGAAGTGCATCAGGGTCCCACTCAATCTCCCTACCCTAAGCTGTCCTGAAGACTAGGCACAGCTGACACAAGCAGCTTCACAAATTTGTATTTCAGTGTCTTATTGAGAGGCCCAATTTAGTCCCCGCCCCGCCCTTCACCACACACCACACACACACACACACAGCAGTGACTCAGTCTGAATCCCTGTACATTCCACAGGAGACCAAAAAATATTGATCCTGACTACCCAGCTACATGAAAGGGGCTGCAATTGGGAACTGTGGGGGGTAGTGCAAGACCTGGAAGAACTGGGCTGGATAAAGGGGAAAGGGCTTCCATGCACAAAGCCCAGTACCAGAAACTCATTTGGGGTCAGGCCTCTCCCCATGGTGCTTGTTCTGGGCAAAGAACCATTAGGCTCCTGTGACTCCCCCAACTGAAGATGCCCAGGCTAAGGGGTTTGAACAGCAGAATGAAGAAGGAACTCAGTAACAAAAGGGGAGGGAGAGAAGATACTAGAATACAAAAATGAGGCCTAAAGTTCAAGAGAACAAACCTACCTTCGGAAGGGAGTGGGCTGGCTTGCTTCCAGTCTCTCCCTATGCCCATCATCCTCCTTTCCGCCACCAAAGTGATTCTCCTAAGGTGCGGGTCCCACCCTGTCACCTCCCCACTCAATAAACTCCAGAGGCTCTCTGTCACCTCCAAGATCAAATACAACAAAGCCCTTTTTAAACTAGCCCTTTCCTACCTTTCGAGTCTTCTTTCCCTTTTCCCCTTTGCTGTACTCTTTGATCCAGCGACACTGGCCTCCTCGCTGTTCCAGGAACAAGGCCCCCCATCTTTCAGCTCTGGACATTTTCTCCTGCTGTCCCCTCAAGCCCGAAATGTTCTCCCTCCGCTCCTGCTGCCTTCCTTGAAGTCCCATCCTCTAAAGGAAGCCTATCCCAACCCCTCTTAATTCCAGTGCCTTCACTCTCCTAACTATTTGTCTTGCATATATAGCTTGTTTGTACCTTATTTATTTGGTTTTGGTCTCCCTCACCAGATTGTAAGTCTCCCAAGAGCAGGCAGTAGACACTTAATAGATGTTTACTGACTCCATTTTGTATCTGCTGCCCTATCCGGTAGCAGAAAATGGTGCCTCTTCCAGAATAAGCCCATTACTTCCAAACTCACAACCATATCACTAACTCAAGCCCTGAGTGACATCCCTTCCATCAGCCTCCTCTCCTCTCTAATTGGAGGGCTGGAGGGCAGAGTACCAAACTCCTCCAAATGCCTTCTTTTATAGAGGGCACAAACTAGACTCAGCTTACAGCACTTTGCATCTGCTGCCCTGCCTGGTTTCAACTCTGCCCAACAAGATATCCCATGGCGTCCTATAACCCTCCTTTCCTGCTTCCCCCTTGAGAATGTAAGCTCCTTGAGGCCAAGATCTACCTTTTTATTAATTATATGCCCAGTGCTTAACACAGTGCCTGGCACATAATAGGCACTTAATAAATGTTTATTGGATTGAATTGACAGAATAAGTGAAAATCAGAAGGAAAAATGACTAGAAAGAAGTTTAAAGGTCATAACATAGTTGCCAAATATTTTACCATGAAGGAAAATGAAACCTCCAATGAAAAAGGAGACTGCAGATTCCCCAGAGTTCATGGAACAATACCAAGAAACTTGGAAGTGGGTCAAAAGATAAATAAAATCTTCAAAAGAACATATTTGGATGGACGTTGGGTCAGAAATCAGAGATAGCAAAGCAAAGATGATAAAGACAAAACAGAATAGATAACTTAGAACACATAATGGAAAACCTTAGAGGTTCTGAAAAAGATGACTGATTTGGATCTAAAAAATAAATACATGGGAGAAAATCTGTCAAAAGGTAAACAAAAAAGAACCTGGAAAGAACACATGAATTCTAGATAGGCCAACCGATTCACCTTGAAGAAAGAATACAGAGATAATGTGAATTTTTTTTTTCCTGGAATTATTACCTAGACAACGGGAAAAAAGGAAAAAAAAATTAGGGCATGAATAGCATACTGTAAAAAATAATCCAAGAAAACTACCCAAAGCTATTGAATACATACACAAAGTACTGATTAAACCTACAGATCTCCAGAGTTTGAAATTCCTAAGTGTATAATAGCTGAATTCCAAAATTTTAATGCAAACAAGCAGCAAATTGAAAAGCCTTCAGGTATAAAAGGATATCAATTTGAATAGGCCAAGATTATTCCACAGTCATGAGAAATCACAGAAAAGAATGGAATAAGTTATTCCAAAAAGCAAAGCTCAAGATATAACCAACCCCAAAAGACATATCCTGAAAAGCTGAGCCTAATTATCATTGAAAAAAGATGGAACTTCAATAAAAGAGGCATCTGAGTCATTCCTATAAAACAACTCAAAGGTGAACAGCATATTTGAGCTGCTGACACCCTTAACACAATAAACACATGACAGGAAAATAAGTTTACTTATCAGGAAAGAACTATGCAATGAAATCAACCACGTTTCTAGACTACCATAAAAAGAAATTGGACTGAAGATTAAAAAAAGAACAAAGAGGGATATAAAATGAACAGAGATTAAATAATAATAAAATAACAATATGGTGATCATCATCATCAACCTCCATTAAATACCGACTATGTGTTAGACATTGTTAAGCACTGGGGATACAAAAAAAGGTAAAAGACACTCTCTGCCCTTGAGGAGCTCATAATGACAGGCAGGGTTGTACTGGTAAATGTTAAACCAGTTCTTTGAAGGAAAAAAAAAATGCATTGACACACTTTTAAGTTTTATCTGCATTATTAACATTTTCTCCATCACTTTCTTAAGTGTAGACAACCAAAAAACAATAAATCAAACCTTGATTTGCAGCAATTGCCAATTTCTGAGTTGTAAAATGCTCACACTACAAATTGAACAATTAGCTTTCTTGAGCTGGTACAAGCTGGTTCCAGCATACTCCTGCTGCCAGCACCAAGTGTATTATGAGAACATTGATCCAGAAAGAATATATTGGCCTTAGGAGTATCATGATAAGGGCAGGGGGTAGGACCAGGTCTCAAGATTCAGGATACAGACTGTCTTCCAATATACATAACTGCTTCCCTCATAAATAGTATTTCTAGGAGATGCAACAGAAAGGCACTTGAGCTGAGCATGTAGGAAAAATATTTGTTACAATAACATGGTTTTTACCTGACCTTAGAACTAAAACATTTCCAAAGGGAAGGATTCTAATTTTATAGTTATTAATGGGGAGAATTTTCAGTTGACAGAAATTGATTAGCCAAGTGTCAGTCTGGGAAGTGAGAAACACGCACATAAGATAAACTGTATCTCTCAGACCCCTACACACATCTTTATAGTTAAGTTTCATGGAAGAACAGCATTTTCGGCAGAAAAATCACTGGCTCTGGAGTCAGAGGACTTGGATTCAAATCCTGCCTTTAACATTTACTACCTATTTGTGACCTTGCGGAAGTCACTTAATTCACCTGGACTTTGCTCCCTTTAACTGTAAAATGAGCGGGTTGGACTAAAGGGTGTCTGCATCTCTTCCAACATTAGGTCTATAACTCCATGAACTTGTTATAAACATTTACTACTGACCAAATGAAATAATATATATAAAGTGCTTTGCAAACCTTCAAGTACTATGTAAGTGTTTATTGTAACTATTAGAGTATTAAGGTGTTCCACTTATAATAAATGTTGGGTGAACTCTCCAACTTCAAAATCACTGCCTGGCTTGCCAGAGAAATGTTAAGCCAAATTTGAATTTGCATAAATGCTTTACATGACTGAGCATAGGGAACTTCTTCTCATGGAAGTGTTGTAGATAAGGCAGTGAGGTAGCCAAATCCTTTTGATGTTTCTGACAACAGCCTCAAAAGAACTGTACTAAATACAGACTTTCCTTTTTTTTTAAATTCCACTCTACCACAGTTTAAGATACATAAAAGCTCTAGGCAACTTTGCAAGCAAAGCTCTAAGGACCATCTTAGCTCTTATACTCTGGATCCCTGAAATGTTTTACTAAAATATAGAAACAGAACAAAGGGGGAAAAGATGGAATGGGTAAAAGCTATACAGGAAAGAAGATCATTAAAAGAATAAGGGTCTGGGGAAAAATAACAAATGGCCAGTGTTGATTTATCTTCCCTTTTCCATTCTAGAAGGAAAAGATAGATTAGTGTGACATTTGTGACAGATCACAGCTGCTTCAGGTTCAAATAACATAAAGGATCAGTGAGCAGGGAAAACATCAGATATTTTATACAAGTAGAACAGATTACTACATAATAACAACCTTGGATCAATGCTATAAATATCAAAAGTTTCTTTGGAGTTTTTCAACATTTAGTGAAGACACAGCAGTACTTACAAGACGTAGAAACTCTTACTATACTAACTATAATTAACTTTCCTAATTAAATAGCAGATTTTAAGCAAAAAAAAAACACTTAAAAATGAGCTAAGATTTTTTTTTACAAAAAATAGTTTTATTAAATTCAATTGACACATTTTTTCCCAAAATATGATACATTTATTCAGTAAATAAAAGTCCTGCTTCTAAACTAGAAAAGTTAAGTGCATATCAGTAAAGCATTAGTAAGATTTCCCAGGAAGTAATATTTAAGATCACAAGTTATGTCAGTTTTTTGTCTTTTATTTCATCTTTTGCATTATCTATGAAATATTCCGATGTCTCTAACCTTAACCAGTTTACCAGCTTCCCCAATCATCATAGTGACCTTGAAATAGCACCGTGTTGTTCTTCCTCAAAGCCACAACAAGCAAAGAAGCTGTGATTCCCCCTTTCCCCAGTACAAGATTTTTTGAACTGGTTCAGTCTTTGAGAGAGTGGTATCTATCTTACAGAAATAATCACGACCTTGATAACAGAGACATCAATGGCAGCATAAATACGAAAAATCCAATAAAACTGAGAAAACAAAACAACCTATTGGGTTAATTTTGCACTAAGGGACTAAAGCAGCTGGCTGTTTTTGTCTTATGGAAATAGTCTTTCCTTAGCCAGGGAATATTGATTTATTGAACATGTATGAAAATCTGGCTTCTCCAAGAGTCAAAGAAAAAAAGTTGAAACAAAGTACCAAGAAATAGTTGCCTGGACAACAATCACAATATATAATGCAGTATAATACAGACATGTTTAAAAATACTTTCATAGTTTCTCAAGTCCTTCATTGAGAGAATATGTTTAGAAACATTAAGTCTTTGAATAGCACCTCAGAAGTTAACAAGGAACAAAGAAAAAATAGCAGACTTGAATACAAAGTACTGGTTCAATATTTAATACTGCCCAGTACAGGTTCAGAATAGACTGACAAATGCTTTCTCATGGTTTATTAAAGGATGGGTAAAGTCTGTCCTGACAAAAAGTTTAAAAATCTAGGATGTGTACAGGAATCCACAGGGATACACAGAAAGTTACATTCCAAACAGCATTATCAGACATTTTAAAACACATATACACTTGTACTTATTTATAATAAAAAGAACACTTCCTAATGTTAAATAATGCCAAATTAATAATTTCCTTAAGGTCCTTCAGGGTGACCAAAACACCTGTCCTGAGTCATAAAGCAAAATCATAGTTCACAGCAGTTGCATAAAAACTTCATTTCTTGCCAAGATAACTTATATAGTTCCATAGGTATACAACAGCTTTCGAGCCATTCCCATATTTCCACTGCTTTGATAAATCAGCGACAGGTTGTACGCAATATCTCTTCGCAAATCTAACTGGTCACTTTCAATACCCTGGGACAAAAAAGGGAAGAAACATGAAAAACCCATTATATTTGGTACTGCTACATGGGAGAACAACATAACAGAGAATGCAATTTTAGAAAGTAACTTTTTTAAATTAGCTAGTAAAATTCAGGCATCAATAAAAAAATTTATATAGCTATTTGAAAGTTTGTATCAGTAAAGCAAAAAGATCATTTCCCCTAAACTTTAAATGTTCATATCATCAAATAGAATTTTTAATAGTATTCAAACTACCTAAGGCCTCTAGGACATTATACAGACATCACACACTTATATTAAGGACCTGCAGAATACACTACATATTTGGGAATTTTGAGTATCACTGCACCCCATCTGCAAAGGTCCAAGAATAGTCTGGATCCTGACGTACTCTATTTTAGTAAAATGCCTACTCTAACCAAAGACCACTCTGTCTCTAATCCCACACAATGGAGTCTTAATTTCCTAGGGATATAAAATCAATGTTTTCCTCTTTATAATTTTATCAAATGTCTACAAAAGACATTCCATAGTCCTAATATTAGGAACTACAAATAAGGTAACTCTTTACCAGAAACTGCTACTTACATCTGGCTGTCCATTTCTTAGGACACAAGCACCAAGTATTTCTACCCTGGGGAAAACTTACAAGATTAGCACCCCCCAACAGCTCCTCTCTCAAAAAAAATTTATTGTACTTTAGTAAAGTTATACATATAAAAAGACTGTTTTTGTCTAATAAATGGGAATCTTGATATTTTGTTGACTCTTTCCAAGGAGTGTGTTGTGCAGCTGGAGAGAGCATTGCATTGGACCAGATGTGGCTTCCAAATCACAGCTTTGCCCCTGCCTAGGGTGTGACAGATACTGGGCAAGATACTTCACCTCTCGGGGATTTGAAGTTATAAAATGTAAAATGAAGTAGTCAAAGCTCTCTGATCTCATGGTAGTATCTGTTAATAAGTCTTGATTCTTTTGTCTACCATCATCTACCACAATGATTGGCAAAGCATTAGTTGCTTCCAAGTTTATCTAAAAATAAGTTTCTGTCTACTGAATATAAAATCTTTGTAGTAAAGAATCAAAGAGGTAGGATGTTTCTAACTGGAAGACTTAACCCAGTTCACCCCTAAACAGTCAAAGATCTTATCTCTTGTCTCTTAAGATCTTTTCAATGTGTGAAAAACTACCCTCCAAATAAGTAACTCAGCAACTGAATCCAACAGGACAGAGTTACTGTTTATGTTCTGAATTTCACCTAATATAATACAGGCACTGAGCTAAAGTGGAAAATACCTATAAGGTTCTCTAGGGGGCTCAAAAAGGTATTATTACCAACAAGCAACATTTTCCCTGTCAATACTTTATCTTCAAAGTAACAGCTGGTTTGTAAGTATAAGAAAGAATATTCTAAATTTTTCAGACTCCTCATATTTGCAAAAAGGAAGAGAAGCTATGTTTTCTCTTCAAAATGAATTATGACTCCATATGCAATTAGGCTGGATGTCCACCACCTGTGGCTACTATATTACCACATCATAAGTTCAAAATCTGTATGTTCTGCTACCTCCCAGAACACTAGATTTCTAAAACCTATACATTTAAAATTTATTTCTCAATACACCTATCTAACCTAAGCAGCACTTCTAAAAGTGTGTGTTGTGATATGGGGTCATGAAAAATTTGGCAACAGTAAAAGGTTTCTGAATGTGCAACAACCAAAAATTAATTAAAAATCAAACGTGTAATGAATTCGAGGTGTTTCTGGCAGTGCTTGCCCATGTGGCATCTCACAACTTCACTGTACCCTTGGTTATGAAAACGAAGCATGTGCAAGCACTGCGCATGCCCTCAGGCCATGCAACACCAACAAATGGAAAAAGTTTAAGAAGTCCTGACCTAGAGAACTATTTCAAACACGTAAGCTATAATTTGTTGTACTGCGTATGCCATAAAATTTGGCTGACTAAATTCATCTTAAAAAAAAAAAAAAAGAGGGAACTGGTTATTCAGTTTTGAAATGAAAATATATAGTACCTCTAGTACAAGTGGAGGGAGCTCAAGGGCCTTCTGGTAATAATGGATTGCAATATGCATCAGCCCCAGTTGGTGAAGGCCACGTCCTAGGTTATAAAATGATTCTTGGCAAGGTCCACGGAGACTTAGGTACCGGTTAAGAAAGGAAAATCCCTGCAAAAGATTAGAAACATTTAATACTTTAAAAAAAAAGTCAAGGGGCACTCCAATATTATTTTAATTGATAAGATTTAGCTGTTTGCAATGAAATCATGAAATTAAGAGTCAAATGCCACAATCACGCCTCCACCCTCCATGAACATATTGTCTATGGCTTCGAATTAGCTCACTCAATGCTGAGATTGAGGCAAACCTTTTTAATTGATACATGCCTAGTAACTTATGAAGAACGTATACTGACAAAACAGAAAAGGTTTACCCTTAGAAGAAAACTCATTAGAACACAAGCAACTTTCTGGTGGCAATAGGTCCCATTTGGTAAATTAAGTCTAAGGACCCTAACCCCTTCTCATATTTCTTATGAAGAGCCTTTCAGAGTAATTTTACTAGAAAAGCAGATTCTTTGGGAGAATGCACTAACCCATTTTCTCAACACTGTATACAACAAAACCATTTACTTTTTCCCCAAATGCATTCTTTTTTTAGTTCACCCCCCATATTTACTCTTTACATAAAGCTAAAAATATTAAAGAAGTGACTATTCAGTATAAATGAATAATTTTTAAAAAAAACTTCTTAGCACAAAATAATTATAACTGGAAAATCCAAATGTGAAGTGTGATTCATTATACTTCCAAATGTAAATGTAATAATTGTTAAAGATTTCCCTCAAAATATCAATATTAATGAATACTCAGGATTCATGTAAGGTCCCAGTAAAGAGGTATTATTTATGTCTAATGGAATGGAGGTTAGCTACAATTTATGTAGACAATAAAAGGAAACCATATGTGTATAGTAATCTGGACTATATACTCTTTGGAAACATGGAACCTATTACACAAATGAATAACACAAAAATGAATAACAAAAAATGATGTGGGAGAAATGTTTTAAATAACAACAGCTTACAGCATGTTTATGGTTTACAAAGTGCTTTTCTGAAAACAACTTTGAGATAAAGAATGGTACAAGTATTATTATTCTCATTTTATATAAGACCATAATGAGTCCCAGAAAGGTTACATTACTTGTTCAAGGTCACACAGTAAATGTCAGATTTAGAACACAAACTCAGATCTTCTGACTTCAAATCATCTTTCCAATATACCATACTCTCTCTCATTTTAGAATTTAATTTAAATTAAAATTACAAGATAACTGAGGTAAATACGAAAACAAAAGCCAGAGAAAAAAGAAATATATTCAGAGATGAATTCAACTTAATATAATATAAATTATCACATTTCTTTTTTGACCCAACAGAGGAATTTAGACACTATTATTAAAAGCTATTACATCTATACCAGGGTAAAGGTTTACTAAAAATGAAATTTTCTTGATAAATAAACGATATACAATTCAAAGTGTGTTAAGAATTTAAAAGCTAAACAACATATACAGTCATTTTATTAAAGAAAACTAAACAGGAAAAAAAATAATTTACATTAATACTTAAAAAAATAATTTGCCCACACTAGCCAGGTTATATATTCTTGATCATTCTCATGAAACTGAGTATTTGCTAGGTACACAAAGTCTGCCTGATACATGAAATATCAAATGGTAGCAAAAGTGGAAAGAAGACTTTTAAGGTTTTTCAGCATGAGATACTAGTAGAAAGGGTATATAAAAAATAGAAAACCAAATTATTTTCCAAAGAAAAACGTAACATGGAAGAAAAGGATAGTCTTATGGGTATGCAGGAAAAACAAAAGCATAATCAATTAAAGTAATTCATAAAAATCACAAAGATGAAACACCTGTATTTATATCATAGAGGCTTTAAAAAAATCCAAACCTCACTTTTCAACTATGAAAATAGTATAAAGATACATTTGAATTTCGGCTTCAAAACACTTGGAAAGCAGGTTAAACATAGCCTGGTTTTTAATGCTCATGCCAGGTTTTTCTATTTTAAAAATGTTAAGGATAATTGTTTTCAGTCTTTCACTGAAATAAAAAGAAAAAACAGGTAGATGAGTATGGATAGTAGGGTTGACAAAAAGTGTAATCCTAACATTATCCAATAATCTAAAAAGGCTCAGAAGAGGTTACAGCCTTAGAGTAAAAAATAATTCAAGATTTCTTTAGTCTTTGTTATCTTTATAGCCTAAACCAAACATACTCAATGTAGAACACTAAACATATTGATCAAGGTCAAGGCACTTTGTTTGCCTTGACTAAGGTCTAAAAAACAAATATGAAGAAATCAAAAGGAATTACCTGCACAATAAGTGCATGCCTTCTTAATACATACTTCTGAGAAGCCATGTGAATAAATGTTAATCCTATACAAAGGCTGTAGAGAGGTTCATCTGGATGGGTGCGAAAAGCTTGCACATACTGGCCTAAAAAAAAAAAAAAGCAGCAGCATGATTTGAAATGAACTCAAGAGAAAATATTTTCACAAATTCAATTCAACAAACATGTATTAAGAGCCTTTGCTAGGTGCTAGGGAAAGAGACAATAGATTAAAATTTTCTGCCTTCCAGGATTCTTCTGGGAGATACAGCACGTACACGGATAGAGAGACTCAAAGTGATTTTTTTTAAAATGTGTACAGTACTAATATTGGTGAGGAGGGGGAAGGGAGGGAAACACCAGGTGATGTCATCCTGAATTAGGCTGTCTATTGTGTGAGAAGAAAGTAGGGAGAAGATGGAGGCCAGATATACTATCAAGATAGAATGAACAAGATTTAGCAGCAGGATCTAGAGTAAGGGAAAAGTAGGAGTCAAGAATGACTCTGATGGATCATACAAATGGGAAAAGGACCCACATGTACAAAAATATTCATAGCATCTCTTGTTGTGGTGGCAAAGAATTGGAAATTGAGAGGCTGCCCATCAATTGGGGAATGGCTGAGCAAGTCATGGTAAATGAACATAATGGAATACTATTGTACCATAAGAAATGATGAACAGGCTGACTTCACAAAAACCTGGAAAGACTTGAATGGTCTGAGGCTGAGTGAAATGAGCAGAACCAGGAGAACGTTGTACATAATAACAACCATATTGTGCAATGACTAATATTGATAAACTTAACCCCAAGGATCTAAGACATCTCCAGAGGCCTTGTGATGGAAAATGCTATCCATATCCAAAGAAAGAACTATGGAAGTTGAATTGCTATTTTTTTCTCTTCTTTTGAGTTCGTTTCCTCTTTCTGATGGTTCCTCCTATAAGTTTTAATTTTTACTTACAACATCACTAATGTGAAAATATGTTTAATAGGAATGTAAATGTATAGCCTATATCAGATTGTCTGCCATCTTGAGGAGGGTGGGGAGGAAGGGGGAGAAAAATTTTAAACTCAAAAGCATATGGAAGTGATTATTGAGAAACCAAAAGAAGTTAATAAAAAAAAAGAAATTGAAAAAAAAAAAAAGAATGACTCTGATGTTAGGAACCTGGACGACTAGATAGATGTCTTCAAGAGATAGAGTAAAACCTGGGTGTGGGAGGAGATGTGTTCTGTCTAGGTCATATTGTGTTTGAGCTGTCAATGAGATATCCAAGTGGAGATGTCAAGAAGGCAGTTGGCAAGGAAAAATTGGAGTTCATAATGGATACAGTCATCTGTATAGAAAAACAGCTAAACCCATGAGAGCTGATGAGGTTACTGAGAGAAATACTGTAGAGAAACCACAGCCTACACTTAATTGAATGTGACCATGACGATCAGCCAACAAACGAGACTGAGAAGGAACATTTTCTAGAGGTAGAAAAAAATCAAGAAGAAGATACGTTTAATATGAATGTATATGTAAATCCTATATCAGATTGAATGCCGTCTTGGGGAAAGGGGAAGGGAGGGAAAATTGAAAACTCAAAAGCTTATGGAAGTGAATGTTAAAAACTAAAAATAAATAAAGTTTAAAAAATATCAAGAAGCAGAGTCACAGAAGTCAAGGGAGAAAAATATCCAGAAAGATGGAATGATTGCCACTGACAAAAATCATAAAGAAAAATGATAATTATGAAAAAAGTCATTGGATTTAGCCATTAAGATCGTTTGTAATCTTGAAGAAAGCATTTCAGTTGAGTGATGAGGTTGAAAGCCACATTGCAAAGGCTTAAGAACAACTAATTAGCTTTGTTTTTGATAAACATTATTTTTTCTGATAATTCACCATACTGCCATGTTATCTACACATTTTCAAAGCACAGCAAAATGAAAATTACTTTGATTTTCTAAAATGACGGACTATTTGTATGTCTACAAATCAGAATTAGAATCATCAATGTACTTTGTCCATGATTTATATGAACTGAAAATATTTTCCCTCTTAGATATGAAGTTGACATTTTAGTTCCATTTTAATGCTAACTTTTACTTGTAGATTAATATTTTACAAAAAGAAAAAACCCAACCCAATACTTTAGCAAAAGAGTTCACTTTACTCACAGATAATCCTGAAAATGCATACAAATAAAATGATTATGAATTCTAAATCTAAGTTCACATAGTAAATTCTTTTGTAAAGTAAAATACTTCTCATTCATGTTCTATAAATTCATATTTGCTTAACTGAGGCACAACTGTATTTTTTAATATATTTTGTTAAAGAAAAGCCTACACATTCTGAGTTAAGCAATTTTAACACAATGGAAAGAAAAAGCATCAATACAAAGGAATCATTTGCACACATTTGTCTAGAACAGCACTTAATTTTTAAAAATTTTTTTTATTAATTTATTTTATCAACAATCACTTCCATAACATAAGCTTTTGAATTTTAAATTTTTCTCTCCTTCCCTCCTCACCTCTGTTCCCAAGATGGCATGCAATCTGATATAGGCTATACATATACATTCCTATTAAACATATTTTCATATTAGAGATGTTGTAAGGAAGAATTAGAACCAATAGGAGGAACTAAAAGAAAGAGAAAACAAAACAAAACAGAAAAAAAAAAGAGCAAATAGTATGCTTCAATCTGCATTTAAACTCCATAGTTCTTTCTTTGGATGTGGATACCATTTTCCATCAATAGACCTTTGGAGATGTCTTAGATCCTTGAATTGCTGAGAAGGTCTAAGTATATCAATGTTAGTCATCTCACAATGTGGCTATAAGAACAGGACTTCTTAAACTGTGGGTCATCTGGGGTTGCAACCCACAGTTTAAGAAGTGCTGATAGGTCAAAAGTGATAAAAGTTTAAGAAGCCCTGGTCTAGAGTGATGTTTTCTCACCAGAATTACAAATTAGAATTGGGAGGCACCATTTACCAACTTTATAAATGAACTATCATAGGGCCATGTCAACTAAAAACCTCCTAAATTATATAACAGTGTAAGATAACAGTTAAAATATATAATACTATAATATAAATATATACTATAAAATTTATAATTATTATTGTAATAATAAAATCTTATCTGCATTACAGTGTGCTTTTAAAGTTTTCAAAGTTTATGTTAAAAAAATTACATAATCTCATTCTTGGATTACAATTTATCGATCTGATTTAATATTAAGCTTTTCTGTCCTAGGTTTATTTTTTAAGAAGCATTTGTACTTACAGATACATGAAGTGTATACACACACACACACACACACACACACACACACAGAGCAGGTAGCTGGTGCAGTGGATAGAGGGCAGGGCCTGGAGTCTGAAAGACCTGAATTCAAATCTAGCCACAGACACTTCCTAGCTGCATGACCCTGGGCAAGTCACTTAACTCTGTTTGCCTTACTTTCCTCATCTGTAAAATAAGTTGGAGAAGGAAACAGCAAATCACACCTTTGCCAAGAAAACCCCAACTAGGCTCACAAAGAGTCAGGCATAACTAAAAAACAACCAAACAATGACTAAAAATATATGTATAAATAAATAAATATATATGTAAATATTAAAGTAGGTAGTGTTAGTTATATTTGAAGGAAAAATAGAAGTTCTATTGCTATGTAGTAAGTATGGAACATGAAAGCAAAATGAATTATCTCTAAATTACACGTATTATTTTTTTTCCAAAATGTACAAAGTACCATGATATCTGTGAGGGGAAAGGCTCATTATTTCAATACCTTAAAGGATTTGGAATTTCATCAGTGTGAGCATTCCCTCCACCAACACAAATCAAAACTTCTCTACAACTTAGTAGATGGTCCTTATGAGCTGTTATGATTGAAAAATTCATCACCTTTAAGCCTCTCTAAATTTAGCTGTGCTGACCTCTGCATAAGATTTAAAATCCATTACTAGGGCCTTCACTCAAAGCCTTTCCAAGCTAATAAAACATGTAAGATCTTATGCTCCATTAGCATAACCTTTGAGAATCTCTACATGAAGATGGGACATCAGACTCTAGTGGAAAAAAAGTTTACTAAAAAAATTGTTTTGCAGTCCCAGGAGTCACACATGCCATATTGTATTCTAAGAAAAATCAAAATTTAAAACTTGAAAAGTTCTTGATTTCAATACCTCATAATTTCCAGAGTTTGGGGAAGTAATCCTCACCCTTGGCACCATATGATACAAGGGCAGTTGAGGTAATTTTTTTTCCTTGGGGGGGTGAAAGGGGAGGAAGTCTGGAATTTAATAAATATGATTTATTAGGAATGAGAGTCTCCTATGGGTTGCTACGGATAAAAAAATCATTACCTGTTGGCAAACCTTCTGGTGATAAGCTTCTAGGGACTTGGTTAGCTAGTAGCTGGACCACAGAATCAATGTCCACTGCTAAGACTGTACTCAAAGACTTTCCAGCAGTCAGTCAAAAGCCATTTATTAAGTACCTACTAGGTGCCAGGCACTGTGCTAAGCATTGGTGATACAAAAAAAGGCAAAAGATAATCCCTGACCTCAAGACGCTCAGGATCAAATAGGGAATATAACACGCAAGCAACTATGTACAAACAATCTATGTACAGGATAGATAGGAAATCAACAGAGGGAAGTCACTAGAATTAAGGAGGATTGGGAAAGGCTTCCTGTAAAAAGTGGGATTTTAGTTGGGACTTGAAAGAAGTCAGGAAGCAGAAATGAGAAGGGGGTACATTCCCGGCATTGGGGACAGCCAGAGAAAATGCTTGGAATGTCAAGAGATGAAGTGTTTTGTCCAAGAGAAAGCAAGGAGGCTAGTGTCAATGGAACAAAGAGTACGTGGGGGCAGTATAAGGGACAAGAAGACTAGAAAGGTAGATGGGGGCTAGGTTATGAAAGGCTTTGAATGTTAAACGGATGATTTTGTATTTGATCCTGCAGGTGACTGGGAGCCACAGGAGTTCACCGAGTATGGGGGGTGGGGTCCTGTGTGACACGGTTAGACCTATGCATAGCAGTACCTACCACAGCTTATGCTCCGCTTCACTAACCCAGTTTCATATCCACACCAGAATGAGGCATCAAAGAAAGACTTCAAAGGAAGGGATAGTCCTACACTGAATTTTTCCAACTTTTAAAATTCATAAGTCCTGAATGTTTTTTGAAGGAGACAGAGGGGGAAAAAAGATTGTGGTCTCCTTTATGTTTCCACAATATTTAAGAAATAAAAACATAGGAAACAAAGATTCAACATCCCATTATTTTTGAGGTACTCTTTCCTGAGAGGTTTAAAAATACTAACAACGGATGAGCACAGCAAACTGCTAAACAAGGGAAAATGGAAAACATGGTCCTTTAAGCAGAAGAAAGTATATAAATAACTTTAAATTTCAAAGCATCTGCTAAGCTTTAATTTTTTCCCTTTTTAATTTCTTCTTATAGCAATTTATTATTACATTAATTAGTTCTCCCTGAGATTAATTAGAATAAAAAAGCACAACAAAAATAAATCTTGCTCTATGTTGGTCTGTCAAAAAAAATTACTGGTTTAAATTTATTAGGTTAAAAATTCTTAAAAAATAAATGTAAATTCAAAAAACATTTATTTATCCCTACCTATATGTAGGATATATGCTAAGCTCTACGGAAGATACAAAAAAAATTGTCCATGCACTCACGAAATTTACTGTCCAATAAAGCCAAGGAATTTAAATCTGGTGACACTTTTGAAGCTTTAAATGCAAAATTTATTTGAGAACTAAATTATACAGTTATAAAAAAAGAATTCTCTGTTACATGTTATAAAACTTATATGAAACATAAACTCAATGTAAAATAAATTGTGGAAAAGCCACAGTCACATGTGATGATATACTTACCAAGTGCATGTTTGAAACTACCAGATACAAATGCATTGTGTCCATTTAAGACACAGAGAGCATGATTATCTGGGTTTTTGAGCATTAATCTAAGACAAAAACGATGGTGCCGTACATCTTGAGAATGCATAGTAACTTGATTAAAGATGTTCCACAGCTGAGGTTTATTCACATTTTCCATGAGCATAATCCTAAAATTAAAGCAAAATGAGAAGGGTAGGCAACAACATTCAAAGATACACAATCATCTTTCTGCTATCCAATCAAGGAGTCAGTCAGTAGTGTATTCACAACAATGAACTATAACCACCACCATGAGGAAAAGCAGGTTGCTGTAAGCTCTTCTGAACAAAATCTATTCAGTGAAAGCTCTTTCCTGGGGAATAATGTAGGAATTGATTTTTCTACAACTTTGGGACCAGCTTTCAAATAAACACATGAACTTCAATGCAAAGAAACAAAAGAAACTGCTTTAAGTTTAGCTGCCTTTTGTACCTTGCCAATCCATAAAAGAAGGTAAAAAAATAGTAACAGTTAACATTTATATAGTGCTTACTATGTGACAGGCACTGTGCTAAGGGCTTTACAACTATCATCTCACTTGATTCTCACAACAATCCTGGGAGGTAAGTGATGATAGTGATACTAAACATAATGATGATGATGATGATGATGATAATGACAAAAGCTAACATTTATACCATTGTTTACTATGTGCTAGGCACTGGTCTAAGCACTTTTTACAAACATAACCTTATTTGATCTTCACAACAACTTTTCAAGATAGGTGCTATTATTATCCTCATTTTACAGATAAGGAAACTGAGGCTGAAAGACGTTAAGTGACTTGCCTAGAGTCATACAGCTAGTACATGCCAGAGGCTGGATCTGAACCAGGTCTTCTAGATTCCAGGCCTAGTGCTCTATCCACTGCGTCACTAGCTGCCCACAAGCACTGAGAAGCAGGAGCAAAAGAAGCAAGTGACTTTGAACAACAAAGAGAGACAAACTCAAAAGCTAATGAACACAACATCCTTTCTATGACAAAAGACCTAGAAGACTGTCACCACTGCAGTGGGTTCTCACCTGATGTAGTTGTATGCTTTTCTAAAGTTTTTGTCGAGAATTGCAGCTGAAAGACCAAAGTATTCAAGCTCTTTGCGTTTCTGTCTATCATCGTAAAAGGAGTAATATTCCAGTGAAGAATCCACCAGGAGCTCGGCCTCCTGAAATCGGGAAAGGTCACACAGGGAATAGATGGCCTTCAACAGCAGATTCCACCAGTCATCTTTTGTCAGGACACTTGTGAGTACAGCAAATATGGCTGAAATGACAAGAATGTAAACCAGTTTAGGATACTGTTTCCAAGAAATAAAAAAGATTAAACAAAAAAATTATGCTTCAAGGCAAACCTAAATGTATCAAAGCCTCAGATCAATCAATAACCATTTTATTAAGTGTCTACTATGTGCCAAAGACTGTGCTAGGCTCTGGGAATACAAAGACAAAAACTAACTAGTCTCTGCCCTCAAGCATCTTGCATTCCATCAGAGAATATATGTGCATAATAGAAAAATATAAGCAAACAGATGCATTTGTATACAAGGGAGAGGCTTCCCCATAATAATCTACACATGACTCCAACTGATTTTATGGTACTTCTCATCAAAATAAAAAAAGAAGAAATTATTTTATTCTAATAACTATGCAGACTCATGCTAGATTCCTAACCTGTGAAAATTTTTTATTTTAGAAAAGTTACATGAACACAATTTTTTTAAACAAATGAAATTACCTTTTGCATCACAGTTTGCTGTCTCCTGGTCATTGTTGTCTGATATCTTGTCTCTTGATACTTTAATCAGGTATAGATGTCTTTCCCCTGACTTGGAACTAGATATCAAACACACCTGGGCTCTATTCATTGCTACCTAAAATTAAAGACATTTTGAGGTTTTTCATCACATTAAAGCTTAATCAATCTATATATAAGAAAAGGAGTTTTATATTTTAAAAACAAGCCAATGTCAAAACTGCAGCTTCTAGGTTTCCAACATTCAGAAACAAATAAAGAGCTTCTTACTTCTATGAATAATCCCAACAAAATCAAGAGAGTGATCTGAGTAGGTAGAAAAGAATATTAAATTATTTTATATGGTTCAGGCTCCATAGGCAGGAGGGAAGGTGGGTCAGTAAAATTTTGTGGGGCCAATAATTTATGGTATTATAATCATCTGTGGAGCTACATGACTGCAACACCATTCTGATTTTTCTAAGTATTAACAAAAATTTAATTGTATTGAGTCTGATAACATCGATAGATTTATTTACTATGCTTTAACTTATCCAAGACAAAAATTCCAAAGTCCATTTTTGTGGGAACTTTGAGTTATGTACTGAGTGCCAAAGTTCATTTCTTTCCATTCACTTTATTTTTCCATTCATTTTTGGCTGTGTCTGTGTTTGTGTGCAAGCCAAAACTGCAAAATAAGCAAAAACCACATTTCACTTAAACTCAGGATCTCTCATGAATCCAAGGTACAAACTAAGCAAAACAGCTATTAACCACAGACATGACCTTAGAGTCCCTCTAGTCACAACCCCTGGCTGACAGAGCTCGACAGCATCCCTAACAAAGGCTTATCCCGTGTGTCTGCTTGAACGTGAAGGGCAGTGCAGTACAGTGGAAACAATGCCGGATTTAGAGTCCAAAGACCAGGGTCTGAATTCTGGATCTCAGCATCCAAGTGGCCTTTTCTATGCTTCACTTTCCTCATTTACAAAATGAAGGGGTTGGTTTACACAATAAAAATGCCTGTCAATTCTAAATCCTGTGATTCCTCCAGTGAACAAACTCTACCTTACAAGGCAGCTCATTCTATTTTTAAACAGCTCTAATTACTAAGAAGTCCTTTCATCACCATTGTCACAGCCCTACCTTCCACCTCAACTTAGCCTCTTCCTGCAGTCAAGCCATGCTCTCCTTACTGGTAACAGTCCACCATATCTAACCAGTCCCAGACCCAGTACACTGTATTCCAACCATCTTCTGTCCTGCCACACTCTACCTCTTCTCTATTTCTTGCTCTAAAAAACAGGAATTAAATTAACACTACCATTCCTGGAAAGGGAACGTCTTCTCTAGTAGATTGCTGCCTCTATCATTCCTACTCTCTCACTTACTTTCACAATTTCCCACTTGATCCACCCATCCCCACAAGCTACCGTCCCATATCTCTTTCTCTTTCTCTCATAGAAAGACTCTACAATAAGTGCCTCCACTTCCTTTCCTCTTACTCTCTTCTTAACTCTCTTGAGTCTGGTTTTCAACATCATCATTCAACCAAAAATACTACCTCAAAATTGACCAATTATCTCTTAATTGCCAAATCTACTGGCGTGTCTCAAAACTCATCCTCCTTGACTTACCTGAAGCCTTTAACACTTTCAAATCACCATCTTTTTCTTGGATACTCTCTGGTCTCTCTAGGTATCCATAACCCTATTCTATCCCGGTCCTCCTGTCTGACTGTTCTTTCTCTGGATCCTCATACAGGTCATGCCTGCGAACTGTGAGTGTCTCCCAGAGCTTTATCCTGGGACTTCTTCTCTTCTCCTTCTATACTATTTCACTTGGTAATCTCAGCAGTTCCCATGGAATTATTATGTCTATGCCAATGATTCTCCTATCAAGCCCTAACCTCCAAACTCATATGTCCACTTGCCTATTAATTATCTCAAATTGGATGTATTGTAGACATATTAAACTCAACATGTTCAAAACTGAACTCGTTATCTTTTCCCTCAAATCCTCCTCTCTTCCCAGCTTCCCTATTCATGTCAAAGATGACCCCCTCCCTTACCCCCAGTTACCCATGTTCCCAACCTGGAAGTCATCCTTAAATCTTGACTCTCTCTCACCCCATCATATCCAATCTGTTGCAAAGGGCTTATGTTTCTTTTTTTCCTCCAACACTACTCCCCCCCCCACCCCAAGCAGGTCCTTATAGCCTCATACTTGGACTGCTGCAGTATCTTTATGCTAGCTCCCCCTGCCTCAATTTTCTCCCCACTTCAATCTATTCTCCACACAGTTGTCAAAACACACACCTCTATTCAATGAACTCTTATCACCTCTAGGATCAAAGATAAAATCCTCTCTTTGGCATTCTAAGTCTTTCACAACCTGACCCCCATCTACCTTTCCAATCTTCTTACACTTTACTCACCCCTAGGTATCAATCCAATGACAATGACCTCCTTGTTGTTCCTTGAACAAGGCTCTGTGCATTTTCCTGGGCTATTCTTCATGCCTAGAATTCTCTCCCTTCTCATCTCTGCCTCCTGGCTTCCCTGGCTTCCTGAAAGTGCCAGCTAAAATCTCTCCTTTTATGAGAAGCCTTTCCTTAGCCCTTTTAATTCTAGCATCTTTCCTGTTATCTTCAATTTATCCTGTACATAGCTTCTTTGTACATAATTGTCTTCATGTTGTCTCCTCCATTAGACTGTGAACTCTTTGAGAACAAGGACTACCCTTTACCATTTTTTATATCTCCAGTGCTTTGCACAGTACCTTCCACATAGTAGGCACTTAATAAATGCTCACTGACTGACTTATTCCACTCACCATCTCTGTGACTTCTTAGATGAAACCTCCCCTTGGTAACCATTCCCCTACATGTGTTGTCTTTCCACACTAAAGCATAAGCTCCTTGAGTGTAAGGGCTATCTTTTGACAACTTGTATCCCCAGCCTGGCAGGGTAAGTGCTTAGTTAAGTACTTTTTATTTATTCATTCTACTGAGTCAAAATCTGCTTCCCTGTACCTTCCATCCATTCGTTTTAATTACTTACTTTTAAAAGCATTGCTAACATGGTAAGCAAGGTATCCACATATCCATACATTTTGCCTTGTGAGTACAGCAGTGTGGAACGATGGAGTAGTAACTTCAGCTCCTAAGTAAATATGAAAATGATAAATGGTCTGATGACTATTCATTTTCATATAAATAAAATCAGTTTTAAAACTTTTATTTAGAGCAGAATCCATAAAAAGAGAGAGTGAAACAAATTTCCAAACTAAGAAAACCAGGAAGGTCGAAAGGAAAGGTCTATTGCACCAGGCTGAGAGAAGAGCACTGTCCAGCACAGGCCACACCAGCATAGACTGGGCCCCAGAAAACCTGGAGCAGGACTCAGGGGACTGAATCACGGGCAGCAGTGGCGATTTCCAGACTTATCGACACCAAAAGAATCATAAGTTCATTTGTAGTACACCTCAGTATATATTACATATGTTTCACTTATATTTTATCTTAGCTACAAATCACATTATTATTAAACTATATGGGACATCAGTTGGAGGGGTAGAAAGGGATGAACACTAAGTATTATAGAAAACGAAAATAATCCAAAAAGTATGATGTACATCTGACCTGCTGTGCAGCATTTGCATCTTGTGCCAGAGTATCTGGATCATACATTGGTTCCAGGGCCTCCAGAGCTTTTTCAGGACGACCTAGCTGCTGCTGAAGAGTGGAGAGGGAAATTCTCGCATCCAAATGTAATGGAGCCAGGTCAACCACTTTGCCATAGCTTTCTGCAGCACGTTCCATGTAACCTAAGGCTTTTAGACATTCTTTAGAAACATTAAAAAAAAAAAAGATAAAATAGACTAATTTTACATACTGAAACATAATATTATAACAGTTCTCAATACTATTACTAGAATAGATTCTCCAACCTACTCCCAACCCAAAAGTTACATTCATCAAAGTAAAAAAAAAAAATCAGAATTAAATACAAAGATTAGGAAAGGAATTTTAATATTGTGAAGTTTAATTTAGTTAATTATGATAAAGTTACAGTACATGTATGCAAAATATTTAAATGATCTGAAATGAATATTAAAAGAACGGATGTAACAATGGCTCAAACTGGGTGGGATGATAACAAATTACTCAACTACTCTTTTGCATCAGTTTTGTCTACCAAGGATCATGATTTCGAGGCCAGAACAAAAAAAAAAAAAAAAAAAGGTTAAATTCAAGATGAATGAAAGAAATAAAGAATGCATCGAGGTAACCTAAATGAGTTCAAATCAGTAGGCAAAAATGCACTATTATCTATACGTATATCTATGTGTATATCTCTATATCTGTATAGAGATATACAGATAAGAGAATAGGATAGGTACCAAATGCAAGGAGGTAAACATATGTTCCAATGTGGGGATGTAAAAAAAAAAGGGAAGAAAATGAAAACTGTAAACTATGGGCCAGTGATCTTGACTTTCATTCAAGGAAAAATTTTACAACGTATTATAAAATGGGTAATTAGTGAACAACTAGGAAAGAAAGCAGTGTCACAAAAATCCAGCCTGGCTTAATCATATCAAATCATATCAGACTAATCTCAATTTTTTTTTATTACAGTTACTAAACCTGTAAGTTTGAGGAATGCCATGAAGATTAAATGCAGATCTGATCATTGTCATTTCCCTACTCAGTAACTCCAAAGGTTCCCTATTGCCTCTAACACCTCTATTGGCATAAAAGCCCTTTACAACCTGGCAAGAACCTACCTTTTTAGCCTTTTTAAACCCTACTTCCCCTAAAAACTGGTCTTCTAGCTATTCTTCACACATGACATTCTACCCATTTTTTTGCCTTTGTGGTGGCTATTCCCCATGCCTGTATGAATGTCCCCCTCATTTCCACTCCTTCAAATCCCTAAGTTCCTTCAAGATTAATTTTAAGCTTCATCGTCTACATAAAGCTTTCAGTGATCCACCCTGTAGCTATTATCCTTCCTACCAAAACTACAACAATATGTACTTATACATGTATATGGTTTCCCCCAACAGAACATAAGTACCTTAAGGGTAGAATTTTTCTTTATATGCCTTTATATGCCCAGTAACTAGTATAATGCAGTATACTAGTATAACTAGTATAGTAGGCATTTAATAAATCTTTCTGATTGATTGATAGCATCCCATCCAATGTTTGTCCAACCTGTACAACTCTAACCCTGGATTACAGCAAAGTATATGATAAAGATTTTCATACTATACTTGTGAACAAGATGGAAACATGAAAGAAAGATGGTGATATGATTAGGTTGATTCAGAACTGGTTGAATGATCACAGAGACCCAAATGGTAGCCCCAGATGGTTTGAGGTCAACTTAATGAAGTCTGTAGTGAAGGCACATGGACCTATGCTGTTCAATACACACTAATCAAATTCAGAGATGACATGAAGCTGAGAGGAATAATAAACACACTGCATAAGACTAATTACTAAAAAACAATCTCAACTGGCAATGATGGGTTGAATCTAACAAAACGAAATATATGAAATACATATTCAAGTTATGGATTATACAGCCTTTAAGGTTCCTTCCAACTCTATATCAATGATGCCAAGTTCCACTACTTATTGGCTGTATAACCTTGGGCAAGTTACTACCTGAGTTTAATTTCTTCATCTGTAAAATGGAAGTAGTACTGAATTTATCTATCTTGTGGGTTTGTGAGGATAAAATGAAATAATGTATACAAAAATACTTTGTAAAGTATAAAGCATTAAACAAATGTAAGCTATTAGTCATTTATTAAATTCCATACAAAAATTAATTTTTAAAATAATAAATCTGTAAATATGTTCAGCCATTTTTTCAGTCATGTCTGACTTTTTGTGACTCCATTTGGGGTTTTCCTGGCAAAGACAAAGAAGTTTGCCATTTCCTTCTCTAAAAAAAATCTATACGGGCATCTAGGTGGCACAGTGGCACCAGCCCTGGAGTCAGGAGGACATGAGTTCAAATCCAGCCTCAGACACGTAATACTTCCTAGCTGTGTGACTCTGGGCAAATCACTTAACCCCAACTGACTCGCTAAAAAAAAAAAATCTATAAAGGCTCAAATATATATATATATACACACATATATATATACACACACACACACACACACATTATATATACACACACACACACACACACACATATATATACACACACATATATATATATTTCTCCGGATACTTGTAAATAATGATCTAGATTATATAAGCAATTGCATATCCCCACAAGAGGTACAGTGGAGAGAGCTTTGAATTTGAACCCAGAGGCTCTGGATTTAAATGCTAGCTCTCTATTTACTACCTCTCTAGGCCTCAATATCATTATCTGTTTAAAAAAAAAAAAAAAAGCAGATTGGACCAGATAAGGGGATGCCCCTTAAGGTCTTAATTGGTGATCCAACAAAAGACAGTATTTAAGTGAATACATTAACCTTTTTAAACCAGAATGTCATTTAGTAAATTATTTTTCTAGTATACTAGTAAGTTCTAGCCTGTGACTCCTGAAAATTGAAGAAATAATTTTGTTCTCCATATTAAAGCAACTTACATTAATGACTTGCTGAAAACTACAATATACCTAGAGTTGGTTTTTTATATATCAGCATTTCAAATATTTATTAGCATCTTCAAAGGGAGCTGCCCCCAAAATGTAAAACTATCAAAAATTTTACCTGCATGCCGGAGCCAAACTACTGCTAGGTTATATCTTTCTGAACAGACTAATGCAGTGAGGAGAGGAAGTGCAGAATTATATTCTCCAACATCAAGAAAAGCTTCAGCGACATCAAGATACAAATCTCCCATATCTTCAGGATTCTGTTCCACTAGTGTGGTCAGGAGTGACTGTCATCACACAAAACAAGGGCTTCAGTTCCACATTCAGAGGATAAATTTATGTAAATGTGTATTTCAGTTTAACTCAAAAACCAATGTTATCAAGAAAGACTTGAGTTGCAATAATCAATATGAGTTTCCAAATTTAATTGGAGGAAGGTCACAGAGTGGGTCTCATCAGTTTTCTCTAGAGAAATGAACTGGTGAACTATACCTTATGGAAGATAAAGAATACATAAATAGCATTTAATTAGGAATAAAGTATTTTGTTTCAACTTGTACTCAAAAAACAAAACCCCAAAGTGTTAAGGGTCTAATTTCCAATTCTAATCAAATCTGTTTTCATTTTTAAAAGGAAAAAAGTAATTAATTCAATTTCAAGAAGAAATTATAAGGATTTGAGTGGAAATCATAACAAATAGTCATAATAAATGGTCATATAGTCATAATAAACTCCCTGGCCCTAAAAAACTGTGAATAATCTAGATCCAAGTTATAATTTCTGGCACATGGGTAAACTGACGGTAACTTTGCCAAAAATTGTAACTTGCAAAAATGGTAACTCTTTTTACTTACATCAAGTGGATCAAGGATATTAAGGTGAACTAAGCACACCATCAATTTAACAGTGATATCAATTGGCACTCCTTCAGGTATAGTGCAAGTAACCTTTTCTTCAGCTGTGGAAAAAAAAAGATTTATATATAATAATTTCTCATCTCTACATACAGCCTTTTTGCAAAGTAAAGCAATGGTTTCTGAACTTTTTTCATCATACACACTGATTAGTAAAGTTTCTGAGCACAACCTCCCATATGTGTACATTTATTTATAAATTATATATACTACTGTGAAACACAGTGAAGAGATGAAAATTACACTAAGATTCTGAACCTGATGTCTGGAAGGATGGTGGTGTCCTAGACAGTAACAGGGAAATTCGGAAGACAGGTAGTTTGGAGAAAAGATAATGTAATAATATCTACAGTGAAAGATCACAATCTCTCCATGACTGCTCATGTCTTGAAACTCACTCTGTTTCATCCCAAATGAAAATGGGAAGCTGTCCCTGCACTGGAGCACAGAGGCTGCCCTCTGAGGGTCACCTGTCACAGCCCCAAGGGAGAAGAGAAGGAAAAAGGATCATTGGAGATAGGATCATTTTTCCAGTGGCATCTATGTAGTGGTTGCAGTGAACGCCAAGTAGCAGTAAGATGCCAAATTAAGAAGTGAAGTGAAGCTTATGCCCCCACACAGGCAAGGGACCTAGGAGAGTGTTAAAAGGGTAACAGTAGATGAGGTTCTATTTGAAATAAGTTCCACAACTGGCCACTGCGTGAAGAGCAGAATATGATTTATCTTTCCTCCCTCAGATAGGGTGATCAAATACTCCTTAGAGTCAAGTCACAGCCCCCACATTGAAGAATACTAGATTAAAGCCCAGCATTAACAATGCCAAAATTCTGGGTTTATCGCTGTAATGGCCAGCTATCCACAGCCATATTTCTTACAAATGCTAAACAGTTTATACCTTCTTTGTCTTCATCTCAAATAACAATTACTTTTTAGTATCCACAAGCTAACATCCTGAACACTTTCAAAAACACTCCACCTCTAGATTAAAAAAAAAACAAAACTTAATTTGGCTTTCTAACTCACAAAGGCTGGTCCAGTGTTTAATATAAAGAGACTTTATTGCATTTGAAAAATATCTTACATTTTATAGTAAATTAATCTCAATTTTGTTAAAAAGTATAATTTTCTCAGTTCAGAGAAACACTAGGGGCAGGAAAAACCCTAAAATGCAACCTAGAAATAATGAAATAAAAAAGTAAATAATGCAGTAAATTTGTTTCAGAAAGCTAGTCATAGGATGATGTTGCAACAGCAAACTTGGCCTAAAACTGCACTGAGGCAAAGCTTAAGACCAAGCTAATCAATATTTCAATACTAAGAGACTATAACTAATTATCAGCCATTTTTACTCTCCTTATTTATCTTTATTATCATAGATCTTTAATTGTGTCACTAAGAGGAAAAGTCATGTCACAGTTTACTATCATTCAGGAATTACATGTAAAGTCATAAGATCACAGAGCTAGAAGGAACCTGAGCGGTTTTATCATTATGACTATCCAGTCCTATACCAAAAATCAATTTTCATGTCATTGTAGACAGGTTAATACTACTTTGATGATATTCATACAGTCATCAAGATTCGTAACCTTATTTTTGCCTCTTCCTTCTCTCTCTCCTCCCATATCCAATAAGATGCCAAGTCTTGTTAATGCCACCTCCACAATATCTCTGACATCCATCCCTTTCTCTGTACTTAAGCCACGGCCAACCTAATTCAGACTCTCATTACTTTTCACCTGCATTACTAGCCTCCAGATTCTTGGCTTCTAGTTTCTAACCTTATCACCCACACAAGCTGTCAATATAATCTTCCTTAAGGACAAGTATAACTATATCACTTCCCTTCTTAAGAACCTCCAGCAGCACCCTGTTGTCCATAGGATCAAATATAAATTAATCACATTGGCATTTAAAACCAAGTTAAGTCTACTACTGTTCCTTGAACTCAACATTCTGTCTCTACCACTGAGAATCCTTAGCTATTTCAGGACTCAAGTGATGGGACATACCAATAGGAAGCCTTTCCTTAACCTACTGGTTGTTAGTTCATTTCTCCCCCTCCTCATATTATTATATATATGTTTATGTTTACATGTTGTATTCCCCTAAATAAGTAAATAGTAGCTGTTTTTTATTTTTTTTCTTTGTATCCCTAGATCCTAGTACAGTGCCCTGTACACAGTAGATACTGAATAAAGGCTTTTAGACTGAATTGGATGAATATGAGGCCCTTTCACAATTATAGCTGTCCTTCTCTGAACTCTTTCAGGCTGTTCAATGTCTGTCCTAAAATGTGGTAGCTGAGAACCGAACACTAAATACAGATGTGGTCTGACATATGGTACAGCACAATATCGTATTTTTATTATCTCCTTATTCTTGGACACTCTTAATGAAGAATAAGTTTGCATTAGCTTTCTTGGCTTCCATATCCCCCTGGTGACTCATACTCAGCCTACAATCTACTAGAACCCTCATGTCTTTTTCATATTAACTGCCCTTTAGTTTATCATCATCCTTTACAATCCTTACCAATCCAAATAAACACTGGTTACAAAATGATCAAAAAAACTTCACTCAATTGATACTTATCTCTTTCCAAGTTATGTCCTAATTGACAAATCTGATGGTCTTTTCTCAATTCTCATTCATCTAAACTTATTTGTTGCATTTTAAAGTGCCGACTATCCTTTGCTCACTATCTTCTCCTCTCTGTTTTCCTGAAACTGATCTCTCCTATGTGTTTGACTGCTCCTTCTCAGTCTCCTTGGCTGGCTCAGCAACCATAACATATCCTCTAACTATGAATATTCTCCAAGTCTCTACCCTAGGTCATCTTCTCTCTCTATAGTCTCTCACTTGGTGATCACATCAGCTCCCACCTGTTTAATTATAATCTCTACATAGAATACTCACAAATCTATATTATCCAATTTATCTCTCCCTGGTACTTCAGTCCCACATCAGAACTTGCTTACTAAGCATTTCAAACTGGAAGTCCTAGAGACATCTCGAATTCAAATGTCCTAAACTGAATCCACTGCCTGTCCTCACAAACCTACCCCTCTCCTAAACTTCCCTATTTCTATCAAAGATAACGCCATTCTTCCAATATTTTAGGTTTATAACATTGGTGTTATCTTTGACTTCTCATTTTACTCATATATTGAATCAGTTGCTAAATCTTGTTTCTACTGTCACAACTTTTTTTTTTTTTTTTTTTGCAGTTGGCCCCTTCTCCCTATTCATACAGACACCATCTTAGTCCAGTTCCTTTTCACCCCTCACCTAGATTATTGCAATGGCTTCCTAATTGGGTTCCTTGCATCAAATCTTTCCCCACCCCAATCTATCCTCCATAGAACTGCTGAAGCTTTTCCTTAAGCACAGATCCAATCATGGCACTCCTCTAATCAATAAACTTTAGTAGCTCCCTACTGCTTCTAAGATAAAATAAAAACTCCTCTTTGGCTTTTAAAGTCCTAACCTATTTTTCCAAACTTGTTAAATGTTACTCTGGCCAGCTAAACAGTGCAGTAGATAAGAGTGCTGGGCCTAGAGTCAGGAAGATCTGAATTCAAATCTGTCCTCACTTGCTATGTGACCTTAGGCGAGTCACTTACCCTCTGTCTGACTCAATTTCCTCAACAGTAAAATGGAGAGAATAATAGCACCTACCACCCCAGGTTGTTATGAGGATCAAATGAAATAATCTTTGTAAAGCACTTAGTATGGGGCCTACTGGAATATAGTAGTACTCAATAAATGCTAGTTCCCTTCCCCTATTTCCCCATCCCTTGCTCCACAATCCAATCAAATAGGCCTTCATTACATTTCCCACACATGATACACATTTCCTGTCTCCATGCTTCTGTACTGGCCAATCCCATACCTAGAAAACAATGCCACTCACCTCCACTTTCACAGAATCTCAGAATCTCTCTCCCTTCAAGATGCAACTCAATCATCAGTGTTCTACTTAAAATCTTTCCTGATCCCTCAACTGCTGGTGCCTTTTCCCCCTACTATATATTTATTTTCTATTTTTCTTTATATATGCTTATAAATGCAAGTGTTGTCTCAAGCTCCTTAAGATTAAAGACTGTTTCTTTTTTTTTTATATTTGTATTCCAAATACCTAGAACAGTGCCTACCACATAACAGATGGATGCTGACTGACTGATGTCACACTGATGTCTCTTCCCAAGATCATCTATTGATCTTCAATTATTTAATTTAAAATTGTCACTTACGTATAAGAATGGCATCCTCTGAAAAAGCTTCATTTGTCATTGACTCTTCCTTCTGAATGTCCATCAAATCTTTCCCATTTGGAACAACAAAAAAAAGTTAAGTATTACTACTGAATCCCACCTATCAATTGTATTTTTCATTTATGAATGGCTTATGAAGAATTTCTTTCTTTGCTAGTTTTAAATTTTGATTTATAATCTAATCCTATGAGTATAAAAAAAAGCATTCTCAATTGATATTTTATTTTTTTAAATCAACAACAAAAAAATTATCTTCTAAGACCAATTCATGGAAACAATATCATCAGATTTACTGCATTCTGAAAAATATTTTCGTTCATTCATTCATTCAATATTCATTCATTCATTCAGCAATTAACATTTACTGATTCATGCCAGATGTTCTGGGTGATAACCAGTTTAATTGGGATGAAGAGAGGACAAAGTATGTACACGAAAGATTGTAATAGAAGGTAAAACAGGCTAAGTGCTATAAGAGGTATAAAGTGCTATGGGAAGTTCAGGGGGAGAAAAAATTATATTTGATTGGATGGAACACAAAAGGCTTTATCAAAGCATATCAACTAGTCTTTGAGGGACTGAGAGAATTTTGTCATAAAGGGATACAGGAAAGGCATTCTAAGCAAAGGGAAAAAGTGAAGCAAACGTATGAAAGCAAAAAGGGGGAGGGGGAGTGGCATGTTTAGGAAATGGAAAAATATTTTAATGCAGGCAATCCCTTCAACATCCCTCAAAAAATATCTCACAGAGACCTACTCTCTAAACTAGAGATGTCAAACTCCCTAGCACTATAGGCTAAACTCAAAACTCAGAGTACATCCCAAATCAGATTAAAATGATTGGAAAATGTTTAACAAAATAAATAAAAATATAATACAACAGACAAAATATTAAATTGAGGTTCTCCAAGTCAATATGCAGCAGCAGGATCCATTTCTATTTGAGTTTGACACCACTGCTCTACACTATTCTTTGATTATACACAGAACACAAGCCCTGTTGCCATGATCGATCAGACTGTGTCCTGCACCCAAAAACTATGAAAATAAGTTCAAGCTACTACTAGCACAAACTCCTCACCCATAATTACACTGCAAATTCTATTATACTTAGCACAAATCATCTTATTTACCTTTTGTTATGTCTCTCTGTATCTAGCACTATGTGCTTTTTGCACATAATATGTGCTTCATACATGCTTTTGAATTGAATGATGTTGCTAATACCACCATAGCACAGTGAAAAGAATTTGAACTAGAAAAAAAGGCTGCTAGAGAAACCTAGAAATCAGAATGAACCTTCTAACCAGCTTTATACAACACTAGTCAGAAAGTTACTGTTCACTAAAGCAATTTAATCTTTATTCAACTAAAACTATATTGTCTTCTATTTAACTTAATATTTACTTCTGTGAATTTTGGTTATTGTTTATCTAAAAAGGTTTTTTAGGTACTTTTCAAAACAGCAAATTGCTTTAACTCTCAGGACTCTTAGTATACTGCTTATTCATTTCATTCTACTCACTTCAATGGGCACAAGGCAAAAAACTCGGCACCGATGAGGTACAGACCACATTGAATGACACATATCAATCTGACCGATAATAAAAATTTACAAACAAGTAAAGAAGTTGTCTGTGATGCAATCAACCAAGGGGTAGAAGACTAAGGAGGAAGTTTAAATAAAATATCTATATATGACGAAAAAAATTCTTGGATAAATTGGTCATGAGGACATTAACTTTAAGAAATCACTGCAAAGATGTAACAATCCTATTGTATGTGTAATATTACCTCTATTCTCTTCCGGTATGCTTTTTTCAATAACTTTTTTCCATAGCACAATTCCAGAATAATCAGTAATAACCTAAAAAGAGCAAAATTGTAACTTATTTCACAAAAGAATAAATGTATAAGTGTTCCTTGAGAAAAATATCTTTGTAATATGCAGAATAATTCAACTAATATTAATTACTAGTTAAATACTAAGTAATCATACTAATAGTAATCATAAAAAGTCATTATGATATACTGAAATTCGTACTTGGAACAAACACTGACTAAAGTTGTATATAATTCAATACCAAGAAAATTCAAGCCTAAGAACTAAACACACCATAGCTATTGGTTTGAATATAACTGTCCTAAAATAAGCAATATGGAAATCTGGCAACCATACTAACTGCCAGAAAAACACTGTAAATTAGATTTTTAAAACTTAAAAGCAGTTTAAATGTGTATTCTCTTTAAAAACTTTAATTACAAAATCAGAAAGCAATCACTATAACAAGATACACTGTATGGGGCTGTTTCCCTACATCCCAGAGTCACTGTGCAGAAATCACTTTTGTAAAGCATAAAACACTTTATAAATATGAGCTATAGTTATTATACAGACAACCTAATGAAGAGTCAATTTCTCAAATTCTATTTTTAGTTTTAATTGAGAAACACCTATTACTCCCTTCAACACACAGCAGAAATCTGTTCAAAATCTAAAGCTGGCATATGTAAATTCTCCTACCTCTAGCGCTTTGTCATGCTGCTTGTTGGAAATGTACAGTTCTGCTGCTATATTAACATCTTCCATGGAGACAAGAGTCTGGTGTTTTGAAAAAGCTTCCTCAATTATGTTAATAGCTGAAGTGACATCACTGGCTTCATAATAACTCCTTGGAAGATAAGCACACAAAAACTGACTGAAAATCAGTTAGTTTAGGTTATCAAGCTTTTATCTATGTTCGTCACACACAGTTTGCGATATTTTTCACTATCCCAACTTTTAGGGGGGAAATCCATGTATTTAAAAATAATAGAAGTGTACTGAAATACTCATCCAAAGATTAAATAAGATCTCATAGAGGAAGAAAGAGAAAGAGATTTGTGTATAGCCAATATAAATTAGACTTTAAAGCAATTATCAGGTCAATTCTACAACCAGGGGTTGACAAACTCATTGCCTAAGCCGGCAATAGTTTGCTGATTCCTACTCTAAACTACAGATCAGATGTTGGGATGATGTAACTGCTTTTATGTATGTTCTATAGAGCAGAATGGAGAATGTGCCAACCAGATATTACTTCTCCAACAAGCAAGGAATATGAATATGGCAAACCAAAAACCAGACTCCTTTGGATAACCAAAACAGTTCACAAGCTAGGACTCACAATTACATCACCACTGTAAAAGCTAATAGTTTACATATAAAACAACAAGTTGTACAGTAATCAATCAATCGACAAACATTTAACATAGTAGAGCCATAGCTTTAGAACTAAAAGAGGCCTTGGAGGCTAGCTAATCTAATATCCTCATTTTACAGATGGGAAAACTATCCACAGCTATGAAAGGATTTCTTTTCACTCTCCTCTAAGTGAACTTCTAAAGCTAAGTCAAAGACCTATTTGGTGTTTATTATGAGATATGGCACAAGATGTTGCTCTAAGCCTAATTTCTCCCAGAATGCTTTCTAATTTTCTGATTTTTTGCCGAATGAATCATTACCCCTGTTTATATCCTTGATGATAGCCAAGTTCATATCCTTGAGTTTTCAAATGCTTCTGCGTTGTATGCCCATAACCTGTTCCACTGATCAACTTTTAAAAAATTTTAACAATAACAAATTGTTTTGATTATTACTATTTTGTAGTATAATCTGAGGTGTGGTCCTGTTAGGTCCTCTTATTTCTCATCTTTTTTTTTTTTCACTATTTTTTCTTGAGATTCTTGACTTTTTATTCTTCCAGGCAAATTTTTAAGGATTTTTTTTTTTAAGGCAATTGGGGTTAAGTGACTTGCCGAGGGTCACACAGCTAGTAAGTGTCAAGTGTTTGGTCTGAGGCCACATTTGAACTCGGGTCCTCCTGACTTTAGGGCTGGTACTCTATCCACTGCGCCATCTAGCTGCCCCCTAGGCGAATTTTTAAAATAATTTTATCTAGTATAAAGTAATCCTTTGGTAGTTGTGACTGGTATGCCACTAAATCTGTAGATTTATTTAGGCAGTATTGTCATTTGTATTTTAGTAGTACCACCCAAATATGAGCAATTCATTTCTCTTCAATTAATTCAGTCATTCTTATCCCTTATTTCTGTAAAAAATATCTTGAGGTTGCATTCACAGAATTCCTGAGTCTTGGTAAACTGAATCCTGAAAACTCTGAAGTAATTTTAAATGAAATACCTTTTCTGTTTATACTGGGTTTTGTTGGCAATATGCACACAAAGGATGATGACTATGTTTATTTTATACCCAGCTACTTTATGAAGTTATTGTTGAATCTCATATAAGTTGAATCTCAATAATTCTCTAAGTAAGCTATCATGTTATCTGCAAAAAAAACTGCTAACTCCTCTTTCCCTATGCTTATTTCTTCACTTTTTATCTTATTGCTACAGTTAATATTTCGAGAACTAGATCAATTAAGACACAGCAACAGATATCCTTGCTTCATTCTCACTGAATGCCTGAATTCATCAATTCAACTAAACTAGCCTTATAGCCATTCTATACACAACATTCCACCTCTGATCTGTGTCACTGCCCTGACAAATCCTCAAACCTAGCATGCATATCCTCCTGACTCTACTTCACAGAATCCTTCTCTTCCTTCAAGATGCAGCTCAAGCACCATCTTCAACATAAAGTCTTTACAGATTTTTCCACTTTGTAGTGCTTTCCTTCGCAAACTACATTGTACATAATTATTTTGTGATTTGTCTTTATACATACTCTGTAAGAGTTTAATAAATGCTTGATTAGCGTGTGTGTGAGAAAGAGAGAGAGAGAAATAGAAAGAGAGAAAGAGAGAGAGAGAGAGAGTGAGAGAGCGAGAGTGAGAGAGCGAGAGAGCGCGCGAGTATCTCCTCAATTAAAATGTAAACTCCTGGTGAGGAGGGATCGTTTTATTCATTCTATTTGTATCCTTAGTACCTGGAACAATACCTAGGACATAGTAAGCTTTAATAAATATTTGTTGGTTAACTGATCTTCTAATTTTTTTTCCAACATTTTCCCATCAGTGTTCATTAGATATAAGTCTAAAGTTTTCTTCCTCAGATATCTCTCTCCCTGGTTTAGGTATCAGAAACTGTATTTGGCTCATTAAAGGAATCCAATATCTATGGTACCTTTAAACATAATGTTTAACATAAACATATCATAAACTCCCTATTTATCTCTTTTTAACTATGTCTCTTTTTATTGTTGACTAGCCTGAGTTCATGATAACTTAGCTTAAAGGATAATAAATTCTGCTCCAGCCCCGTATTTTAACTCTGTGAAATCATACTGTCATTGTATTCATATAGCTCCAGTGTGTAACATAGCAGGTAGACCAAATATTTTATACATTCTATGGTTACTTTAAATGGAATTTCTTTATCTTTTCCTCCTGGGTTTTACTGATAACAGAAAAATGCAGATGATTTTTGAGGATTTATCTTATATGCTACAACATTGCTGAAGACATTAACATTTTAGTTGACTCTTTAGGTTTTTCTAAGTACACCATCATCATATTATTTGCAAAAAATGATAATTTTGTTTCTTCTTTGCCTATTTATTCCCTCAATTTTTTTGTCTTTTTGTTACAGCTAGCACTTCTAGCACTATGTTGAATAATAATGGTAATAATAGCCCCAGTGCAAGGCTGTCTTGCTCTGTTAGTCTTGTCTTTTGCAGTGGCTCTGACAAAAGCATTGGTTTCAGGCCTCTTGTGGGCTCCTGGTGCTGGGGTTGTCCCAGCCACTGTTCTGGACCTTTCTCCTACTGTGGCTCCAGTCAGGGCTTCCTGAGCATTATGTTGGCTCTATCTCCTACTCATTCATTGGTTCTGCTGCATTTTCCTGACTCCTAAGTGCGAGTACCCTGTTTTGGGGCCTCAACTTTCTCTAAATTCTCTTCTTTGTGAGCTCATTTATTTCCAAAACTTCTTTCATCACATCTATGTAAATGACTTTGAAATTTTTATCACTAGCCCCAACCTTTCCTCCTGAGCTTCAGTACTACTTTTCCTACCACTATCAAAATATCTTCACTTGACTGTCCACAATATATCTCAAAATCAACATATCCAAAACTGAACTCATCATCTTCCCCTACAAAAGCTTCCCCCTTTTCCAATCTTTGCTATTTCTGTTGCCCACACTACCTACTGAATAAAATATAAACTCTGGATTCTGGCACTTATGGACTTTAATTTGGCTCCAACCTACATTTCTAGCTTTATTTCACTGCCTCCCCTTTACCCTTAACTCATTCTATACTCTAGTAAAACTGGAATAATCACCTTTCTTTATTTTCTCTTAGCCTTTTCTACTTCTGTGTATTTGGAAGTATCTTTTCTCCTCGTCATTCCTAGAAATGCTCATACCTCCAAATCCTCCTCCTTCAAGGGCCAGTTAGCTCAGGAGCCACTTCTATCTTGAAGCAATCTCTGATACCCCCATCCACAGTCTTTTTCATCAAGTCTGTGCCATTCTGTTCAACCTGATATAGTTACTCACATTCTAGCTTGTATTATTGTCACTTGTGTACATGTGCTTATTTAAATCTCTAAGAGGTAGCACTGTGCCTTGTATTAAGTAAAACCTTAGTAAATGTATATATTCCAATTTAAATCAATTTATAATTATAAAGAAAAATAATAGAAAACAATATTGTTATAAATGTGTACTATCACACTTTAGTTAGAGACTTCTGTGTGCTAGCCTACTGTAACTGTTTCTAGTAGAAATTCCCTGTAGAATAAAAGCTCCTTGAAGGCAGAGGCAATCTCACTTTTGTCTGTGTAATCCAAGTGCTAGGAACAGCACCTGATATGAAGTAGGCACGTAATAAACGCTTGCTTTTTTATCTTCTGGGTTTCAAACAGCCAACTTATGAAGATCGTTTACAATAAAACTCACTTGTAAGTTGGCAACTTCTCTTTCATTCATGGATCCACTGAAGCATAACTACCTGAACCTGAAGAGAAAAATGTATTCTATTTCAAACACACATGCCTTGTTTTTTTGACATGTTAAGTACTGAATTTACTATTTCAAGTATTAAAAAAGCAAAATGTTATAACAGGTTTCCACACAAACTTACTTTGCCATATCTCTGGCCAACTGCATGAAGCGCTCTCCATCGAATGGGGATAGGAGATTTAAAATGCGTCTATAACCATCCATTGCCATTTTATGTTCTCCCATCTGTTCATAAAGGCTTGATCTTTCCCAAAGATAACGAACATTTGTAGGATCATACTTAAGAGCTAAAAATACAACACAGATAATATGTATTCTGCTTAACACACAGCAAAAAATAGGGTACAAAGTGCTAACCACCCTGTTTACATGATGTTTAAACTAAGGCAATTCACAGTATCATAGATTTAGAGCCAAAAGGAATCTCAGAAGTCATTTAATTCAAAACCCCTCATTTTAAAAACGAGGAAACCAAAACTCACAGAAGTGACTAACCCAAAGTGAAAAAAGTAGTATAAAGCAAAGCCAAAATTTGAACCTAGGCCCTCCAACTCCAAATCCAGCACTTTTTCCACTGCACCCTCAGGGATTTTCCAGTTCACCTCAGAGCCAAGGACCCAGACCTCAGGGCCAGATCCTTCCAGGGTGGCTCCAAACACATAACTAAACATCATAATATACTCCTGACCCACTATTATAATCAGGGTTTGGGCCAGCACTGGAAGTAATATGCTAACTCCAATCTCATACAAACACTTGGTTCTTTTTCTTTTGGCAAATCTCACAATGAAATCAAGGTGAGACTAGTAAATAAAATGGTCACATTGTAAAGCTTTTCCTGTCAACATATCCTGTTCCTAGTTTGTCCCAACTGGGTGAACTAAATTTAAAACTTCTTTATAATCTGGCCTCAGGTCAGCAGCTTCTATAACAAATCTAAGGGAAAACTTCCTAACAATTAAAGCTGAAGTGTCTTGGGCAGTTATTATTTCACCTACATTGGAAGCCTAGACCAGGGGTGGAGAACCTGTGGCATTAAGGCCACACGTGGCCTTTTAGGTCCTTGGGTATGATCTTTTGACTGAGTCTAAGTTTTACAGAACAAATCCTTTCATTAAGGGTATTTGTTCCATGAAGTTTAGATTCAGTCAAAGGGTCACACTTGAGGATCTAGAGGGCCACATATGGCCTCGAGGCCACAGGTTCCCCACCCCTGGGCTAGATGATCATTTGCTGGGGATGCTGAAAAGTAGATCCCTATTTAGGTCTACTCTACATTAAATAACTTCTCAGGTACCTTCCAACTCTCAGAGATTTAGGTCTACTCTACATTGAATAACTTCTCAGGTACCTTCCAACTCTCATACATTTATTTCATCAGTATCTTCTCAGAAAATACCCTGAACCTGTTAAAAATCAATTCTTCAGTTTCCACACCAGAGCAAACTTTGACTCTCAAGTTGCCTTAATGACCCATCTAGTTAGAAAGAAGTCCTGGATCATATTCAATTCAAAGCTGGCTCGCACCTTAAAGATGTACATCTGGTCCCATAAGCTGACCCTGGGATAAAACTGGTCAGGTAGAGATGGTTCTGAAACAAAGTATCCTCCAGGATAAAAGATTTAGTCCTAGTGCCATCTGTCTCACTTAGTAATGACAAAGGTAAAAATAGGACAATTCAAATTACAAATTTCCAATCTCAGTAGAAAGTTAATTACAAATAAATTCATTTTCAAAAACTTTACAACACAGCCCAGCAATGACAATAATTCTAGACTTTGTCAACCAAAATATTATCTATTACAGTTGATATAAAAATATTAAAATACATTACCTTTTGTATAGCAAAAAATAGCTTGCTTAATGTTGTCTTGTTCTAGTGACATTTCTGCCAGTCTAACCCATTCTTCTGTGTCACTAGGGTTTAAATGTGCAGAAATTAGCTCAAATTGCAATGATTTCTCCATATCACCTTGGTCCTCATATATCATGGCAAGAGTAGAAAATGGTTCATAAGCAAGAGGAGCTAAAAGAGATAATTTTTTTTTCAATATTTACAAAAGGCTGAAAAGGAAAAAAAGTGGCTGAGCTAGCTACACTCTCAGGGTCCACAAACTATTCTAAAATTCAAACACGCCAATATTTTTCATGTCCATTTCATTTCATTCTCTCTAGGAGAACGTCACAAACTGAACTAAAAATGGAGCTCAGGATGCCTTTAGGTATATATAAACTAATAACTATAACTTTATTTTATTCATAATATCATCATAATAATTAACATTTATGTAATGCTTTTAAAGTCTGCAAGGTCTTTTATATAGATTATCTCATATAAACATCATGATCACCCCAAAAGAGAGGTAATGCAGGTGTTACTATGCCATTTTACAGGTGATGAAACATACTTAGAAAACTCTAAGTGATTTGCCCAAAATTACATAGCTATTAAAGAACAGAGGCACAATTTAAAACTAGTCATCCTGATTCCAGGTCCAGAACTCTATTAAAAAAAAGGGCAAAAAGTATGCCTTTGTAAAACATCTGCTAGACGGAACTTTTACAATTGCCTCTCCATCCTGTCATAGAGGATATAGGCCAATATGTTTCAGTCATTGGTATTATGTCGAGGACACCCTTGGAGGTGCATCTCCTAATGAACCTTCAGTCATTGGTATTATGTCGAGGACACCCTTGGAGCTGCATCTCCTAATGAACCTAGACACTTCCACCCAAGGAATTCAGCCCAGAGCATGCCCAATAGTCTCAACTTTTGACGCAATAATTCCAAAAATGAAGTAATCTAGAAATTAATGCCCCAAAATTATATTTAAAAAAAAGGACTAAGATAAAGGGGCAGACAAGGATGGTAAGTAACATCAACTATGAGAAATTATCTTGAAGAAACTTAACATATTATCAGTTGTTAAAAGAATAAGAAATAGCAGTGACGTTTACAACATATAGAATAAAGTCTGAAAGAAGGTTCTCAAAATTTAAACAAATGTTAAGAGGTTCTTGATAATATAACTTAAGGAATCATTTTTTAAGGTTAATTACCTTATTAATTATAGTGAGTAGTAGTTTGGCAAAACTGAGAAAGCAAAACAATAATTTTAAGTAAAAGAAGAAAAATCAGTTTTAAAGGTGCTCTTAATAACAAGATTTGAGGCTTAAAGAAGACAAATGACAAGTTTAGAATTGTCTTTTGCCAAAAAGAAACCCAGGTTAAATTCATCACTTGACACTATCTGATCTGGAAATGGAAAAAACGAAACTTCTTCAATTCTTTTTTAACATAATATCCTTGATATATTTAGGAAACACTATTATACATTAAGTCTGAAGTCCAATTTTAGAATAATGGAAAACGGAATACAAGGACTTCAAAACACCAATAAGAGAAATAGTAGCACAATTTAATGGGAATGGGAATAGAATATATTGCTATCCTATTGCTACCTGAGGTATTTAGTTCATTTAAATAAAGTGATTTTAAGTTCTTCTTGGTCAATGCTTGTATTTAAGTGAAAGCGGTAAGATAAATGTCATCATAAATAGCTATAATTTTCAAGTCTCTATTTCATTATGTGTTATGCCAAAGAACTTGCAGGGACAAAATTTTAAGCTCCCACAATCGATATACAGACCCCCATACAAAGTACCTTGTCTTATAATTTCCATGCACATCAGTATGGCCTCTTCACGTTCACCTCGAGCAAATCGGATGTTGGCTTCCCCCATGAGCCCTCTCAGAGCTCTAGGAAGTTTACTTCGAGGTCTTTTCTCCTACAGAACAAAAATGGCATTTATGTTAGAATAGTTTAAAGTTCTACATATTAATTCAAAACACTTTAATAAAACTAGGAAATAATAAAATCAAGATCTTTCATTTAAAAAGGCAACTTTTCAAGCTCCAGAATTCAACAGTTCAGACTAAATGGTTGCAATTTTAACTGATTCACTTACCAGAAAAACAGTTGAAAATTCAATTAAAGAAAAGCACAAAAATTATCTCCTAAACAGTTTACAAAGACCAGGGCTTTAAAAGTTTAAAATTTCAACTGAAACAAGTTTTGTGAACACAAAATAACTTTATAAAATACTTCTGTGATTTGGGGTGTGTGTGTGGGGGTGTGTGTGTGTGTGTGTGTGTGTGTGTGTACACACGTGCTTTTTTAAAGCAAACTTTGAAGTGGTCAGAAGCTACTAAGTAGGATACTTTTACAGGTAGGCTTGATTAATTTATTTAATATTTATTATTTGTACAGCATGAAAGTTAAAATACACCAGAGACTTGCAATGATACAATCTAATACAGCTCAGAACTATAAATTTTCTTTTTCAGAATAATTCTTCCCCCCAAGGCAATTCGAGTTAAGTGACGTGCCCAGGGTCACACAGTTAAGTATCAAGTGTCTGAGGCCACATTTGAACTCAGGTCCTCCTGACTCCAAGGCCAGAGCTCTACCTACTGCACCACCTAGCTGCTTCTTATAACCCCACATTTTCTTTCAGAATTATATTAACTTCAAAAATGTTTGCTTTTCATCCTCTGCCAGATAATATGAAATCAGCCATCAGACCTAGACTAGGATAGAGAACTTGAGAGAAGGTCTGGTACAATACGACAAAAGCCCACCTCTTTCTTCCTACACCAGAAACTGAATCTTTTTTCACCAAATCTGCCCCTTCCTCATTAGCTTATGATGGTGTAATTTGCTCAGTCAATATGCTGAAAATCTCAGACTCAAATCTTTGATTTATTTGATCTATACCCAATCCAACCCTGTTATTCCCCCAAACATTTAAGTCTTGTTGAGTCTGTCTTTCCATTATCTTTCCCAAATGCCCCCTCATTTCCATTTCCACTGTCACCACCTTGGTTCAGGCCTTTAATACCTCCCCTACTTGACTCCAAGTTCTTTCACGGCAAAGATGATGTCACACTTTTCTTTGTCATCTTCCTCAATACAGTGCCCTGTCATGGCAGGCATATGAATGCTTGCTGAATTGTTTTTTAATTGAAATTTTTGTTGAATGTGGACCCTATTATGGCAGTCTCCAGTGCATTTTCATGCACTGAAAAAATGTGTACTAATTACTGAATCACAACTTTTTCTTCAAAAGAAAAATCTACTTGCTTTCATCATTTTCTTGGTCTCTCGATTAAGGACCATCTCCAACACAAATACATCTCCTGCTGTGGGTTGTTCTGGTGTTTCTTCGTCTTCTTCCTCCTCTTCTTCCTCCTCTTCCTCATCTTCATTTTCTCCAAGCATGGAAGCAAAGACCCTGTGGACCGATTTGCTGACTCCATCGGATGTTTCTCCTGGGTAAAGAGAAACCAAAACCAAATACAACCATTTTGACTTTCAAAAAAAAAGGTAGTCCCTTCTAAGAGGATGTCTTTATAGCCTATTATAGTAGTACCCTATGCATCCAGAAGTTAGACTTCTAGCAATCATAAGTATTTAGAATACAGCCACAAACTTGGAATTAAGTTGGGGGAGCTAAGGAGAGACCTGTAATCAGCAAAAACAAGGCTTTAAAGCTATACTTTGCTCAATAAGAAAGGCAGTGTCACACTCAGGCATACAGCTAGACAACTGTGTGTGTGAATGCAGCCGACTGGAAATAGATTTCAGAGACAACTAAGAGAAAAACTATAGAAAACAAACATAAAAGTATAAAAGCATGGCAGTGGGATAATTCAGTGTGGGGAAAATAGCAACAAACACTTCAATAATCTCTCAGGACATCCCAGTATTATAGCACAGAACAATAACTGATGTTTTGAAAAATGACCTGAACCATCAAGAAATGGTTACATTCTTCTTGATAACAACTGTTTAAGGAATCAGATAAGAGTGTATATTTTTTAAAGACTTAAATGATTAAAATATGTTTTTATACTTAAATCAATAAGCTTCAACTATTTTGAAAATTTAACTATGTAGAACACATTATCAGGGCTCCGGCTGAAAATATTATACCCAGCAAAGCTAAGCATAATCCTGAATGAAAAAATAAAACTGGACATTTAACGAACTGTCAGACTTTCAGGACTTGGTTTAACAAAAAAAAAAAACTGAACTTAATAGATTTGACATACAAGAGTCAAGAGAAATGTAAGGTACAAACCAAAGACTAATTACAAGGGACTCCATAAGGACAGACTGTTTACTTTTTATGTATGTAAAACATAAAACATATGTCTAAGATTGTTATTAGTAATTGAGTGATTGGTCAGAAAGACTGGGGTAGACCTGAGTATGATATGACTTTAAAAAGTAAAACCATTTAGAAACAGCTAAAAAAAAAGTAATTGTTTTATACAAATGAGCTGTGAAAAGAAGAACCACAGAGGAATTAGATGGGGGAGGAGGTCTATTGGTTCTGGAAACCTACTTTCATTGGTAATGGGTTCAAGAGGGAACAATACATATATATTTAGAAGAGTAAAAACTAAATTCAGAAAGAAATAAAACACTAAGGGGATAGGGAGGAGGGAGAGGATAAGGGAAGGAGAGAGTAAGGGAATAAGGTTAAAGGTAGAGTATAGTTAGATTAATGGGAATGAAGAAGGGAGGGATGCTTGGCAGGGGTAGGTTAAATAATAGGAGGGCAAGGTACTAGGTGGAAGTAAAGTAGAGTTAGGAGGGATAGGAAATAAGAGATATGCACAAACATAAAAACAAAGATCAAAAGTAGAATTTGTTAGGGAAAGTATATGTCTACATATGTGTGTATGTATGTGTATATATGTATATGTGTACCTAAATATCTATATCTATTCATAAATATATTCACGCTTAACTACAGCCTTCGGGGAGAGTGGGGAAAGAACAAAATAAAAAGTGCAGAGCAGAGAACAAAAGAAAACTAACAAGGAAGCAAAGAAAAGATGGACAGCTCTCAACACAAAGTATAGTACAGGCTTTCTTGAAATGGAAATTTTTTGCTATATATTTTGAATTCTCTTTTACATTCTGCTGCGGACGTGACTTTTTTTTTCTTATTTTGTATTTAAGTTTCAATAGTTAAGTTTATAATGTTTCTTTTTCTTTTCTTATTGTGTATTTAAGTTTCAGAAATAAAAATACTTAAAAAAATAACACATCCTAAAGATGTTGAACAAAATCGAATATAATAATATCTGATTAAATAAAATGAATACATAGATACAGGCAAAAAGGATGTTTTCATTAAACCTGCAGGATTTTAATTTTTTCAACACTCGAAATCACTCCAAAGTCTAAGAATCATAAACTGAAGTATTTAAGTGATTACATTTTTAACTGAGAGAAAGAGAGGCTTTGTGCATACAGAGCTATGTGACCCCAGGCAAGTCATTTAACCTCTCAGTGTCCTAGGCAACTCAGTTGTAGAGACTACACCAACTGCAGTGGTAAGATCTGCTTACCTGTAGTTCCCTTCACCGCTGAAGTCACAAGTCTGGCTTTTAAAAACTGTTATTTGAACCATTATGATCATCTTCTTAAAAGTTTTCAACCAAAGTAAAATTAATATGGCTATTTTAATTGGGAGTGGGGTGGCATATATATGGGGGAACCAAACCTGTGATTTCATTAGTTTAAAAAAAACCTAGTAAGTAAACTCCCCCTACTAATCAATGAAGATTTGCACCTGCTTTACAACTTAGTCTTTGAGAGTTGCCTAGGACATGGAGAAGTTAAATAACTTGCCCAAGTGCAGAAGATAAAGCACCTGCCATGGAGTCAGGAGGACCTGAGTTCAAATTCCGCCTCAGACACTTGACACATATTAGCTGTATAACCCTGGGCAAGGCACTTTACCCCGACTGCCTCACAAACAAATACATGAATGAATAACTTGCCCAAGAGCACACAAACAGTATGTGTCAGAGATGGGACTTGAACCCAGGTCTTGTACCTCAGACCATTTCTCTATGTACTCCAACACTCCAATTCTTATATAAGAATTTATTATACTTGAATGATCATGCTAATTATTACAAAGCATATTGTATGAGTTTCTAAATTATTAGAGTAATTTTGCCATTTCAAATGAAGATTCAGGTTGATGACCAAGTCAAGCATTAAAACATATCCCAACGAAAGCGTCTAACCTGGTTGGGTTATATATGAGATGATTTATAATACATTTTAAAAACATAAGATATCATGCACATACACACAAGTAGTAAGATTCTAATAAGACAGGACTGAAATTTTCTTTAGATTCATATATTATATTTGTTGTCTTTTGTCAGTGAACAAGACTATGATAATCAAGACCCATCAAAGTTTTCAATAAAATTTCATAAATTAATATAACAAGAAGTTAAAATGAAAAGGCTGCTTGATAAACTTCTTTAGGTTAAAGTGACTGACCTAAATGTAGATCAGAGGACTGGGGGGGGGGGGGGGGGGGCAGGAGAACAATCTGAAACAATTTAGAATTAGAAGGAGGTTACACTCCAGGAGTAACGATTTTGCTAACGAGGCAAAAGTAACTACATACAATTTTTGGATAAATGGTTTTAGTTAAGGATGGACCAGAAGCCATTCTAAGAATGTTGCTGTTCAGTCATTCAGTCACCTCCAACACTGCCTGACCCCCATGGACCATACTGTCCATGTGGTTTTAATGGCAAAGATACTGGAGTGCTTTGCCATTTCCTTCTCCAGTGGATTAAGGCAAACAAAGATTAAGAGACTTGCTAGTCACTAGTAAGTATCTGAGGCCAGGTTTAAACTCAGGTGTTCCTGACTCTAGGCCTAATTCTCTATTCATTGAGCCATTGAGCTGTCTCCTATTCTCTTCTTCTGTGTGCTAGAAAAATATGGCTTCTATGATATTGAGGAAGAGAAACTCCGAATGTAAGAAACATCCCTAAAGATGGACACAAAGCATATAAAACATTATCATAAACTGAAGTCACAAAAATAAACACATTCATCAAATAAACAGGCCATTTGCCATCAAATGTTACGTTAATCACAAAACAACAAACACTTTTATAACTCTTACTAGATACTGTAGATATTAAACCTTTTCAACATACCTTCATTGATATCTTGGCTCTGAGATTTGATAGAATCAATTCCAGAAGAAGATGGGACCTCTGAGTCATTTAGATTTTCCTCAGCTAAAACTTTTCCTTTTTCCTGACCAGACTGAAGGATTTAAAATTTATTAGCATAGAAAACACACACTTAAAAAAATCTAGCAATTACATATTTTAAACGACACACTTATACTACTTTCTGTTCTTGACTCTGTCTGTGTGTATGTGTGTGTATCTAGAGTCTCAAAAACAAAGAGTTTTCAGTTTAGATAATTATAATGTAAGAGTACAGTAAACTACAGTTCAAATTCAAGCCCCTATTATAACTGTCAACCTGTCAAACCTCCTTGAGCCTTATTTTCTTCATCTATGGCATATAATGCATGCACTACTTAACTCAAAGGGTTATTGTGAGGACGAAATGAGGTATGTATTTAGTGCTACATAGATAATAGAAGCTATCATGCCTATTGTTCATATCATACCCTGCCAAGGGATAGCCAGTCCAATGAATTAGATGAACAATGAACTGGGCCTAGAATTAAATAGGAATGACTGAGGGAGTGGATTACAGTCGGGAAACTGTACCATGCTTTTAATCCCAGAATACTTCCTAGTACAAAGATCCATCTTCTCAATACAAATGTTATCCCACAGACATTCTGTGGTTGTTAAATTCTGCAACACTACAGTCCCTGAGAATTTAAACTTATAGATGGCTCTCTAGAGGGATGGGTGGTGAGTACAGGTAAGTTCTCTTAAAGTTCTAAGTATAAGGAATATAAGACACATCACTAAAGACATGTATGATCAAATACAAAGAGAAGTCCTTCACGTGGAATTCACAAGGGACAAAAGGTGAACAGCCTGAATACTCCACTAGTAGCCTTGAAATGGTTAAAAAAAAAAAAAAAAATCCTAGTTTCCAGAAGGTGGGTCCTTCATTGAGCATCTATAGAAAAACATGGATGAGAATCTGACAGGATGAGGAAGTACGAATGAGCTGTAATCTGTACCAATGGAAAAAAGCCCCACATCAATAAGATCACAAATCATATTCATTAGATATAAACAACCATAAGAAGATCTTTCTGGTCATTTCATTGACTAGATGTGGGATGCAATTCCGAAAAGGGGTAGGAGATGGTACTAGTTTCCTGGATGAGAAAGGTATGTCAGATGCTTTTAGAAAGGAGTAATGAAAATGAAAGACTCAGATCTACACCAAGTGAATAAAATGTGAGTGAAGACTTTTCTTCCTCTTAAACACATAGGGATTCTCAACAGCAGGTTATAGTATAAGAGAACTTCAGAGCTGGAAGGCCCTTAGAGATCATCTAGTCCAACCCCATTACTGTACCAAAGAGGAAACAAGTTTAGAGTAGATAACTTGTCCAAAATCTTGAGTTAGTGGTGGAACAACTACTATCACCCACGTCTCAGCCTCTTTCCACAACACTGGGGTCTGTTGATGTCAATGTCACTGAAATAAAAATCCTATTAACAAGGATAGGCCCATTAAACAGAAGAGGCAATGTCTGCGCCTCCTCAGGAGAGGAGATAGGATGGGATACGGAGAGATACAAGTCTATTTATATTCATAAATCATTAGCACTGGAAGATTTTCCAATCCAACCGCTTCATTTTACAGATTAGAGAAACTGAGGCCCAGATAGGGGAAACGAACTGCTGAGTTTCCCACGGTCGAGCTCGGCGCGTCGGGGCAGGAGGAGGGATCTAGAATCAAGGGTCCCAGGCCCAATCGCCCCAGCCCCGGGGGGCCCCTCCGGCTCCCGAGCCTCGGGTTCCTCATCCGTAAAATGGGGGCGGCGGCTCTGGAGGATCGTCTCTAGGGCGCCTTCCTGCCCGACACCCCGAAATGGCAGAGCCTCAAACCTCCTTCCTCCCGGGGCCGGCCTTCTCCTCCGGCGGCCTCGGAGGAGCGAGGCCGAGACCCCGGGCGGGAGCAGCGGGGGCGGCCGGGAGGGGAGCGCGGCTGGGCTCCGACGCTCCCGGGCTCCGCGCCGGGACCGTTCCGCGCTCAGCCTCGGGGGAGCGCAAGGGCTTCGGCTCACTTTCTTCTCGCGGGTTTTCCTCTCTTCCCTCCGCCTCTCGAACTCCTCAAAGGAGATCTTCCCTTCCAGGTAATCGATCAGCTCGGAGCTGAACCCCGACATGGCCCCGCTGGTCTCGCTCCTCTTACAGGGAGCAAGAGTCAAAGGCCCCCAGCCTCTTCCCCCGGCATCTCCCACTTCCGGAACAGACCGGACACGGCGTCCTCCCCCGAAAAGAGCCGGGCAGCCACGGGCGCCCGCACGCAAGAGTTCCTAGAGCGTCCCCGCCCCCACGGTGGGGGCGTACTCCAGGCTCGGGGCGGGGTTTGTACCTCCCGGGGTAGAAGGAGGTGAGAAGGAACTGATGTGAGCAGAACCAGAACACTGTACAGAGCGACAGTAGAAGGGTAAAGATGATCAACACCGACTTGGCTACTGTGGTCACGACAGTGATCCTAAAGGACTGGATGAGGAAAAATGCTACCCCACCTCCAGAAAAAGAACTGATGAACTCTAAATGCAGACTGAAGCATACTTTTTTCACTTTCTTTATTTTTCTTGCTTTTTTTCTTTTTCTTTTTTCTTTTTTTGCAACATGGCTAATATGGAAATATGTTTTGCATAATTATACATGTATAATTGATATGTCGCATACTTTCTCAGTGGGTAGGGGAGGGAGAGAATTTGAAACTCAAAATTGTTTAAAATGAATGTTTAAAATAAATAAAAAATAAAGGGGAAAAAGAGTAGTGGATTGCAGAAGCTCCACAAATGGATGAGATTTTATATCGCTATTTTTTTGAATGTACATATATGCATTTATTTATGCATGTATGTTTGTGACAGGGAAAAAGAAACTTAGGATCATTGAAAATGCTTTACATTTTCCCCAATAAAACTCAGCCTGTTCTTTTCCTTATACTTAATCCTGATTTCAGTTCATTGTCCAAAAGCAAGGATCTTGTGGAATTCTTGGCAGTAGGGGTGCCAGATTTCATCAGCTAGGTCAGATTGCATCTCTCCTTGTGGAGAGCAGTGAGGAAATGGCTTCTGGGAGAATCATGGTAGTATATCATGTACATACCTTTGTGAGATTGTGGAGCATGCATGTATAGTCTGTAACTGTATTCAATTGGTTCACCACATCGTCGGGAGAAACTTTTTTTTTTTAAATTGGCTCCATACTCAGAATTATCGACATCTTCAAAAACACTTGAATCAGCTTTATTCCCCTCTTTTCTTCATTTGCATATGGTGGAGTTCATGGTGTCTGGATCAAGAGATCATGAAGTATAGTTGATGGTTTGAAAGACTTCTTCTCTGAGGTGGTATGACCACCAAGAAACAGACTTCTGTCCTTAGTCATTTTCTTCCTTCTTGGTTCTCCTAGCTTCTAAGTTGTCTTTGGCCTTCATGGGTTGAGAAATCTGGAAACCACCACAACTGCCCGAGATTCAGTCCTCTGAACTTGCCTGTGCGCCCATGCCGTACTGCGCCTCTCTCCCAACCCAGCACGATAGACCTTTCTGATCAACCATCCAGGTTGTGTTGGGCTGGAAAGTTGTTACACTCTGTCCTTTTGTGAGTTCTGCTGCTCTAGAATTTGTTCAGAGCCATTTTTACAGTTATTTGGAGAGGTTTGGGGGAGAACTCAAGCAAGTCACTGCTTTTACTTCCTCATCTTGGCTCCGCCCTCCCAGCCATTCTTATATTGATATTTTTATCCAATCCAGAAAACGCAAAAAGATGACAGATAGATTCTCTATGAAATTAAGAATATCTTTTTCCCAGCATTTGCTGTAAGAATACAGACAACATACTTTAAACTTTAATCTGTATCATTAATATCTTCTTCATCTCTTTCTTAAGTGTAGACAATCAACAAACAATAAATTAAGTCCTGATTTGTAGCATTTGCTTATTTTCAAGGTGGAAATGCTCACACTGAAAATTTAAGAATTGGTTCTCCTGGTTCAAGCTGGCTCTGGCACATCCCTGCTTGTAAAAATAAAGTCAGGCAAAACAAAACAACATAGTGATTATGCCCAAAAATGTGTGTCTTTGCACTTTGTGTCCATTACCTCCCTTTCTGGAGGTGGGTACCACATTTCATCATAGGTCCCTTTCTGCATTTTGAAGTCTTTCAAGGGTATTTTATTTCAAATGTTGCTGTCATTGTCTAAATTGTTCTTTTGTTTTTCTGGGTCAATTCATACTCCCAAGGTTCTCTGAAATAGTTCCTTGTCATTTCTTATGGAGCAATAATAATCCACTATATTCTGCCACTACAATTTGCTCACCCATTACCTCATTATCTAAGAGGCAATCTAAGGCATTCTCTTAGACTCTAGATTTTTTCTTTTCTTTTCTTCTCACTTCCCACCCCCTTTAATCTCTCCTTCAGGATCACGAAGTTTGCTTTGCTTATAATATCTTCTCTCAACTCCACCCCCATTTCTACTTGTTTCCTTGTTGAATTTGATTGTATTCCTGTACTAAACCATTTATATGTGTACGTGCAACCCTCCTTTTTCCATTTCAGATACTAGTGAGGTTCATCTCATGCCCTCTTCCTCCACCACTTCCCACCTTTGTATTTTCTTCTCATGCATCCCAATTATGAGAAATAACAAGCTCCACTCCCTTTTACCTCTTTTCTTCTACCCTAGTGCATTCCTCCTTTTACCCTCCCTTCTCTTCCCCCTCTTCAAACCTGAAGAGCAGAGACAGTCTATTCCACGACCTCTGGTTTTGTTTTTTTTTCATTTCTAACTCCCTCAATACCCTGAAAGGACCCTTGTTTCTTCTCCCCCGTTAGAATATTAGCATCACACCATCATATAGCTCCTTTCAATTGCTCAAATAAATTTACCTTCCGAGGTTTCTCTGGACTGTTGGGTTTGCATTTCACAGTTTCTACTCTGCTATGGTCTTTTCATCAGAAATACTTTAAAGTTTTCTATTCCATTAAAGATCTCCTTTTGTTTGTTGGAGGCTTATATTCAGCTTTGCAGGATAAGATATTCTTGGTTGTAAGCTTGATTCTTTTGCCTTTTAGAATGCTATATTCCAAGAAATCTCTGAATTTTAGTAGAAGCTACTGGGTCTTCTGAGATCCCACGTTTCTTGTGACTTGAATTGCTGCTTACTGGATGTTTTCAGTGTTTTTTCTTTGGGAGTTCTGGACTTTAGCTATGCTATTTCTGAAACTTTTCCTTTTGGAAATCACCTTTCAAGAGGTGATTAATAGGTTGTATCTTTATTTTGCCTCTGATTCTAATAGATCTGGGGCACTTTCACTTGTCTTCTTGAAATACAATGACCTGGCCTTTAAAAAAAATCATACTTTTCAGGTAGTCCAACGAATCTTAAATTACTTCTATTTTCCAGATTTCTTATATTTGTTCTATTTTTTTTATCTTTTTTTTTTTCCAACTAGTTCTTGCTGTCTTGTTTACTCAATTGATTTCTGTTTGGTCTATTCTAGCTTTCAGGGATTCCATTTCATGAGTAAAACTTATGACTTTCTCTTCCAAGCTACTAATTCTCCTTCCAATTCTTTCCTTGACCTTCATTTTTATCCCTTGCTTCATCTTCTATAGACATTCAGATAGTCTTTGTAAAAAATTATTATTTTTTCTTTAAGTTTCTGCTTGCACCAGATATGGCATTAGATTTTCCATAAGAAATGCAGAAAAGCAGAAATGTATTTAACATCTTTTACAGAACAAGTACAATAAAAGACTATTATATTCAATGATAGTTTATGTTCAATAAAGGGCTTTTGAAGTGAAAATTAAAAATTTGTTGGAGATTAAATAACTTCGTACTAAAGAATGGGTGGGTCAAAGAATGAATCATGGAAACAATCAATAATTTCATTAAAATAATAACACCAAGGCAACATACCAAAATTTGGAGGATGCAGCCAAAGCAATACATAAGGGAAATTTTCTATATCTAAACACTTTTTATCAGTAAAAGAGAGAGAGCAGATTAATGAATTGAGCATGTAATAAATTTAAAAAACTATAAAACCAACAAATTAAAGATAGAAATCCTGAAAAATCAGAAAAATATTTCTTTTTTTTAAATGAGGCTATGAAAGATTAAGTATTTTGCCATGGGTCACAAGGCTAATGAATGTCTGCGGCAGGTATTGAACTCAGATTCATCCGGACTCTAAGTCCAGTACTCTATCCACTGTGCCACCTGGCTACAAACATAATAATGAAAGGAATACCTTGTTATCCCATTCTTTTCTGTGATAAGGTCAGTGAAAGATCAACTCTTTCATAATTGAACATCCCAGATCCCTTCCATTTGCTTGGCTTCCATAACATTCCTTTCACCTGGTTGTCCTCTTGTTTGCCTGCTTCCTCTTTTCAGTTTCCTTCACTGGATCATCATTAATCTTCCATCTGCTAGGTATAGGAGTCCCCAAGGCCTCTATTCTGGGACCTCCTCCTCTCTTCAGATGCACTCCCTTCCTTAACAATTCCCCCGTGGGTTCAAATAGGCACTTAGGTGTTGCAGTAGATAGAGTTCAAATGTGGCCTCAGATACTTATTAGCTCTCTGACCTTGGACAAGTCACTTAACTTTTGTCTGCTTCAGTTTCCTCACTAGGATCAAATGAGACAATATTTTTAGGGTATAATGTATAATGTGTTTTAGCTCAGTGTCTGGCATATAGCAGATGCTTAATAAATGCTTATTTCCATGCCTCAGTTTTGATCTCAATACACATCTACATGTCCTCCATTTCTCTCTCTCTCTCTCTCTCTCTCTCTCTCTCTCTCTCGAATTCCAATCCTACATGTCCATGTCCAGCTGCCTGCTGGGTATCTTCATCTGCTGACCTGAAAGCACTGGAAACTCAGCATGTCCAAAGTGATATGAACTCAGTATCTTTTTTTAAGCTCTCCTCTCCTCCAAACTTACCCATTTCTGTAGAAGGCAGCACTAATTTCCCATCATCCAAGTTAAAAGCTAGAAAATAATCTTTGGGGGCAACTAGGTGGCGCAGTGGATAGAGCACTGGCCCTAAAGTCCGGAGGACCTGAGTTCAAATCCAGCCTCAGACCAAACACTTAACACTTACTAGCTGTGTGATCTTGGGCAAGTCACTTAACCCCAATTGCCTAAAAAAAAAAATCTTTGATTCATCTATTTCTTTCATTACCTACCCATTTTCAATCAATTGCCAAAGATCTGTCA